AGCTGCTTGTAAACATAAATAAGTTTGCGTATACGTGCCGACAATAAGGTAATGTGAGATTTGAAATTTAAGTTAGAGTCAATCTGTACTCCAAGATATCTAATAGTGTTAGTAGTGTCTAGAAAGGTTGGATTAGTTATATGATTAGAATAATGATCAACGGCTATCTGAAATGGAGTATCTTGTGAAACCATCCAATTACGGATAGAAAAAGGTATAGCTTTCGTCTTCTCAATATTTAGTGTTAGTAGATTATTATCTAGCCATTTTTTAACTACATTAAACCCAGACTGTGCGGATCCGTAGGTTTCGGTCCAATCTATACCTGTAAAAATTAGGGCTGTATCATCTGCGTAAGAGAAAATTTTACAGTTATCAATTTTTAGATTGCAGAGACTGTTGATATAAACGAGGAATAGTGTAGGACCAAGAATGCTTCCCTGGGGAACTCCCATAGAGATTGGTTGCTGATTACTTACGTAGGAGCCAATTTTTACGCATTGGGACCTCCCCGACAGATAGCTCTGAAACATATTTAGCTGTTGTCCTCTGATACCCAGAGCCTCAAGTTTAAGCAGAAGGAGCGGAATTGACACCGTGTCAAAAGCTTTGGCCAAGTCTAAAAATATTCCAAGACACCTAAAGCGTTTATCCAAATGTGTAACCACATGATCCACTAGGTTATGAACTGCATCCGCCGTAGACCTACCCCTCCTGAAACCGTACTGATTATCAGATAAGATTTTACGGGATTCTAGGAAATTTATGAGTCTATTGTTCAGAATCCGCTCAAGCACCTTAGACATGGCAGGTAGGACTGAGATTGGCCTATAATTATTAACTTTGCTTCTATCACCCGCCTTGTAAATAGGATGAACCAGTGCTTTTTTAAACTGTTCTGGAAAGGTGTAGCTTAATATGCTAAGATTGCAGATGTGGGTGAGTGGTTGTAAAATCAATTTTTTGTACCGTCTAATAAGACTACCAGAAATGCCATCGCATCCTGTGGCACAATCTGCCTTTAGCGTGTCTATAATTTGCTCAACCTCTGATTCATCGGTTGTAAGGAGAACAAAAGATTCGTAGTGTGCATGTTCATATAGGTTTGATGCAATCTGAGTGGTAGGCTGGACACTTTGGGCAAGCTCTGTACCAATATTCACATAAAAGGTGTTTACTTCATCTATACAACTTTGCGCATTGTTACCAGTAAGTAAAAGATTATTTGCTAATGTTTTAGATTTATTTATGTTTGTAACTTTGCCAATAACTTCCCAAACACGTTTAACATTACTACCAGCTCTTCTAAACTCCTCTCTTTCAAATTCTCTTTTTGCTCTTTTCAAACGTGCGTTACAGTAGTTTCGATATCTTTTATATGATACTCTGAGTATTTGATCTGCAGGCGCGTGCTTTAATTTTTTGTATAAGTTGTCCCTATGCCGCATGCATCGTAAAAGACCAGGAGTGATCCAGGGCTTGAGAACTCTACGTCTGCGAGGAACGTTACAGATTATGGCGCTAGACTTAATAGCAGAGGAGATGGGATCAATTAAATAGCTAGTAGCAAGATTCACATCTTTAGTATTGTAAACTGAATCGAAATTGATTTCATTTACAGCGGCCTCAAGTCTTACATAGTCAATTTTACAGGAAGAGCGGCATGGTATGGCGGTGTTTGTTGTTAAGGATAGTATGATTGCGTAGTGGTCGGTAATAGTTGTATCGAGGACGAAAGTTTTGGCAACATAATTAGTTCTTAAAATAATGTGGTCAATGCATGTACCACTTTTGGGACGTGTGATGAGAAAATGCCCAGGGTATAAACCATGATGTGCAATCAGATCCTGATAATCCAGGGATTCATTATTGCCTGGAGATATATCTATGTTTATATCTCCTACCACAGCCACATTTGCAAACGATGACAGGCCAGAGATAATGTTGTGTAGAGAAATCAAAAAATTAGCGGTGGAGGTAAACGCAGGAGGTCTGTAGATGGACACAATAGCCAAATTGGTACCGAATTTAATAATTAAACAATTTAGTTCAGATTCAGGCGGTTCATCGACAGTGACATAAGGTATAGCATTGTTCACATATACAACGATGCCATCATTTTTGTTATAAGACTTTGTTGACTTGTAATGATTATAACCAATTAACATAGGTACGTTGGGGTTACATTGCAGCCAGCACTCCGTAAGTACAATTATGTCACAATGTATCTCTGTTCTTTCGAGTAACGTAATAAAACCTAAGATATTAGCATTTATGCTACAAATGTTTTGAGTGATTATATTAATACTCTTATTATTCTGCTTAATAAGTGAGGAACAGTCCTCAGGTTTACAAAAAGTTGATTCAAACAGACATACATTGTCAATGTTATTTAGAATATTATTTATTTCAGGCATTTTTTAAAAATAAGATTAGAGGGTAACTGTAGATTGTTATTATTTTTGTATCTGAACCTGAGATGAACCGTAAGCCGAAGATAAAGTGTATGGTATGATTTCGGTACTTTTAATTTAACAAAGTAGCAATTTACTGTGCTGGCATAGTTGGCATGTAGTGATATGACACTCCTCGTGCTCGTGGTTTGTGTGTTTACTGTACATGTTTGTTGATGTATATATTCATTGTATGTGTGTTTGGAAGTGTAAGTGTACAAGCATTTTTGATATGGTCGAAAACAATAGGCAATTACTGTCAATAAGTCCTTATGAAAATTAATGAAATCTATATAAATATTAATCGCTAATAAGATGCAAAATGAAAACATAACAAATCTTATATCTAGTCATTTATCCTTTATAGATGCGAAATCTGAATCGGTGTTAATTTTTGTTACAGCCGAGCCTTCACTTTTCCGCAAAAACACGCAACCGTTTGATGTCCAGCAGAAACTGAAATGATTGGTTTTTGCATAGTCTCTTGCTAAGTGGTAAAGTTTTTTGGTATTAAAAGTGAGATATTCTGAAATATATATTGGCTTGGCTGGTCCATTTAATTTGATGTGGCTAGTATTCAATTTCGAAGTATTACTCGTATTTGATCTATGAAATTTTCTCAAACCCATCAAGATTTGGTCCTTTGTTTTAACAGTAGTGAATTCCACAATAATAGGTTTATCGTTTTCTCTTTTTGTGTTCACCCTGTATGTATCTTTAATGTCAGCATCTTCGATGTTTATGTTAAGAACTGACGAAATGTTTTTGACGGTAGTACGCAAATCTTGTTTTGTTTCTTGCGCGGCAGCTTTAGGTACGTTGCGTATTTCTAGCATAGTGATACGAGATTTCCGCTCGAGTATTTCAAGTTTGTTTTCCAGCGTATTAATATAGATATTTGTTTTCTTTTTTTCTCCTTCCAATAAATTTATTTTTTCTCTCATTTCTTCGTATTCATTGCTCAGAAATTCCAAGGATTTGAAAATGTCAGAGTTTTGATTTTTTATTTCGCTTATAGCTTCCTGTAAAATAGATAGTTTTTTATCTTGTTTTTCTGTAAAATCAGAAAACATATTTCTCATGTCGTCCATAAAATCTCGTACAAATTCACTCATTTCATACTTTTGCTTATTCCGAGTCGTAATGTTTTCGGCAACAGACGCTGTGGAAGTCGAACTTTTTTGTTGCTGTGTAGGTTGTGCACGATTAGCACTAGAGTTCGAAGGTGTTGACGGAGGAGTTCGCTTTAACGGCAGCGGCATTGTAGCGCGGCAAGCGACGTAATACCTAAAATAAATCACGCAGTGCCCGGCCGCTGTCTTTATTCACGTAAAATTGTCGTCGAGGTCAGATTAACTTGGTGCTTATCGACGGTTCCATGCAATATCGCTTGCTGTCCGTTTTATCAAGACCCCAGGCGAAAGAGGTCTCTTAAATTTGCCACTTAACCTTGTTCTTATATTAAAATCGCCTTACGTCTAACAAATAAAATGAAATACAATAAAATGAAGTGTCCAAAAAAACGAAAATAAACAAAATAAAAAATGTATGAGTACACAGGGGTTCGAACTGGCGACCTCTTGCACGGATTCACTGCACCGTCCGATTGTGCCAATCACACTATAGGGAACGTTGCGAAATAACGATATAGTTATTTTTTCGAGGTTTAGGCGACACGGAATTATAACTTGTTCTATGACTCACAGTTTCGAGCAAATCACTAAGTCACTTCACTGGATCGCCTTACGTTTGCATTTAACGGAAAATTTAAAGCGAAATACACTTGTTTTACGTTTTATAATACGATATTATATGTCACTGTTTAGATTGTTTTGATCAGTCCGATTTCTGGATTATTTTAAAGCACAATCGAAACTTAAATTAAAACTTATACATATTAAAATTGATTAAAAATACGGAGAGCGTTTACTTTGCGTCCGCACTGTACCGGGCCGGCGGGGGGGGGGGTTAGTTAAGGGCAATAAATTTAATATTTTATACATTTTAATATAATATAATTTGATACAATTTAAAGTTTGGATAATCATAACATACAAAGAAAAAAAATATTTATTAATTTTAATTTTCAATTTGTATATTTGTGACGTCCACTGTGTTCCGTGCCGCACGAATCATCGCCGAATCCACTGAAAATCAGCGTCGTACCACACTTTCAGTGAGACGGCAATAGCTGAGTGGATGACGGATTCAGTGGCTGCACAGCACACATCCTGTCTCCCTTATCTTTCTTTCATCTATTTTTTGTTTTTGTTTTGTTTGTAAATTGTATGTGTGCTGTGCTTTACATTGAATAAATAATTTCTATTCTATTCTATACACAAAAAAGCTTCAAACTTCTTTTTTTTTGTATTGGGGGTTAAAACAGGACTCGCTTCATATTGCAATGATGCTATTTTATTTTTCGTCTCTGATTAGTGTTTATTAACCACTGAAAATGTTGACAAAATATACTGAGTGTACTTGCGTACAAAAAGTCGTTCTCTGTGTTCAGTTCACATTAATAACTAAAATAACTTCTATTTCCAGCGAGCAAACTCTGTAAAGGATGCCTTAGAGCTCTTAGCTGGTAAAGATACTCTAGAAGGCGTGTCAGACGCATGGCAGCAGTTGTCCATAGAACAATTGCCGGTGGTGCTATTGCTGCATCTTAAGTGCTTTCAACTGGACTCCGAGGGACACACTGCCAAGATTGTCAAAAGCGTTGACTTCCCTATCGATTTGAAGATTGATCCCAGTAAGTATCAAGATATAATTTATCAATTGCTTTAAGAGAATATCAATGTCAACGAAAGATCAACGAATTCTTTAAAGAGTGAAATCTACCTTCATGGTATCCTTTAATTAAATAACCTTTCTAGAGGAGATTAAGGTTAGTGTCAATGACTCAGAAAAAGTTTTGTATTCTCAGCACTCGTTCTCATGTGTGTAATTAAAATCTAGTTAATTGCAATATATAATTACATCTTTCCCACAAGGAAAACATCTGTATATTATACCATCTTCTTACGACAATTTTTTTACTCAACAATAACTTAGCCCATCTACCAAAGCAGAGTGGTGAAAAACTGATCTACAATCAAATATTTTCCATAAACGTTTTTAGATTTAGATTTACAGTGGATCTATGCAAAATTTGCTGCTGAAACAGATCTTCCCGCTCTCTTTTAACTGCATCATGTTTAGTTGAAAGTTCTTTCTTAAATAGTTTTTACATTAACCAAGTTATTAATGTAAGATTATGTCAACAAACTCAGTGACTTATAAACAATAATTAAAAAACGAAATACACTATATTAATCAAAACATTAATATTACAGAAATAATGGCATCAAAGATGAAGTACACATCGAAACAGCGTCTGTACAAACTGTTCGCCGTTGTGTACCACGAGGGCGTGGAGGCCGTCAAGGGGCACTACCTCACCGACACCTACCACGGACAGGCTGGCTGGATCAGGTCATTATTCATTCATTAAAATACTATATATTTAAAAAAATACTATATACATATACAACGTGCAACGAATATAACACAAAAATAAAACAATAATTTAAACTAACATTAAGTAATAACAATAACGCACACACTCAACATAGCCCCGCACTAGGGAAACCCTGTCAAACCACAAATTACACCCAAACTCACGAGAGAAATAAATGTAGGCCATACAAATATTTCTCCCGACCCGGGAATCGAACCTGGGACCTCTGCGTGGCAGTCCAGCATGGTAACCTCTCGACCACAGAGGTAATTAACTATACTTGAAATGAATATTTCAGGGATAATGAAAAGTACATCTACTTTAGAGATTCCTTAGTTTTTTGATATTTTGTCCCACTACTGATTTTTTTTATTAAAAATAAATATTCAGAATATTCGTGATAAGAAATCAGTTTTTAACAATACATTGCAAGTGGATTAAGGCACATAAATGGTTCACAAAAATAAAATAAAAAAGTCTTCGAGTGTTTATCGAGTTCTTAGGTTTTCGCGATTGTTATACACAGAAAATGAAACTATGGCTGACTGACCGAAACGTTTGTTTGTTCGACAAAATTGATGTACGCGATTTAGGTCCGAAAAAATAGTTCCATTTCCTATGTGATTGTGTTTAGTTAATGAATTGGTAACAGGAGTCATACTTTTAGAAGATTTTCACAGTGATGTTTCTTTATTTTTCGTCTCTGAAAGTGACGTAATTACACATATGTGGACAAAACTTACTGAGTTAACTCGAATTAATTACCGTTCTACTATCTGTACATTTTCAACTAGTAATAAATATTTGTCTTGCAGATATGACGACTCTACAGTGAACCAAGTGACCGATGCTCAGGTTCTGAAACCAAAACCACCGCGTATGCCGTACCTCCTGATGTACCGTCGCCAAGACACGCTCCCGATACCGCATCGTGCCGCTGGCAAGCCCGAGTGAGTGTTACCTCACAGGCTAACGGACAGTTTGCAAACTGCTGGATTTTTAAGTGTACCTAACGTCCGACCCATATTTCGCATGTACCATTCAATAACACAGAGTTTTCTCTGGAGCGCACAATCATTAATGGTACCCAGGAGACGCACAAATGGAAACGAGTGGTGTTTGGAAAATGAATTTGTTAATTTTAGGCTTCATATTTATAGAAGATTTACTCAGAATCAATATATGTCTGCAGAAAAGTTTAAATGTAATGTTGGGGTAAACATTTAAAGATTCAGCAAGTTTAGTGTGAACAGTGAAGAGAATACTTGGTATTCAGTGTAAATAGACTAGTAAAGACTTATACTGTGCCTGTCCTAGACTTGTTGCAGCACAACGAAAATGTACGTAATGTAAGTATACATTGTTCTGTGTAGATATGTACTGTTGACAGAGTGTAAAGGAATAGACAGATGTCAGTAATGCTAGCTTCCTCAATGACTGTATCTTCAAACATCATTGGTCCTAACCTATGTACCAGATATAGCATTAAATGCTGACAATTCGCACTCTACAACTTTGTATCGTAAATGTAAATTTTTCTTTTCATAAATATTATTAGTGTAGTTTTAATGTTAAAACTGTAAATTCTTACAATTACAGTTGTATAAAGTACAAAAGAAGTTTGGTATCTATCACGTTAGATGGACATCTAAGATTACTATGATTAAATTTTTATTGAAAACACTCATTTATTCGTACATAAAAATTTTTTCACAATTGTATAGTAACTTTGTAAATATTAACAACTTGTATGTAGGTTGACGGGGACAGATTTCGCATTTTATTTATACTTCGATTTCTAGTACTTCGAGTTGAATGAGGCAACACAAAACATTTGAATCGACTGGTGCTTCAATGTCCCCGACATTTCTTAATAGTTATAGCAAGTTCTTTATTTGACAATACGGAATTGTGGTTTATAAATTGAAAAAAAAATTGTAAAAAAAAAAATAATTTACATGTATGTAACATTTAGTATATTCATCAGAGCAAAGGCCAAGTTTCTGTGGTAGAAACTTGATCAATTCAATTGGTAATAAAATATGTCATTCATAAATATGCAAGTGAGAAGGATGTATTATATTACTGAAGACTTAAGCTGACAGAAAGTACAAAGTTTTGATAAAGTGCTAGCAATCACATCAAATACCAAATATTTCCATGAAATACGATATGTATATATATTAACGTGGAAGCAATGTTGGTATAGTGATTTGGAAAACTAAAATGGTAATTGTACTGTAGAGGAAAGTAGATTGTTTATTTGTAACAAATACTGCCGAACGTATTTATGCATTTTGGGGTATGATCGGATTAAGCAGCTACAAGTATGACTGCATGACAAAATTTTGTTTAGTGTAAGCAGACAATTAAATGTTATTATACTTTCCTGAATGTGAATGTATGACCAAGTATCATCCTGTAATCGTACGTTAGGCGTCAGAATCGTGAGAGTATGCAGAACTTTGGATGTTATTATTTACCCTTGTACCACTGGAATGTACCACAATCGAATTTAGGAAAAAAACAGTGTAACGTCGTTCCTATTTTTACAATATATTGTACACCGGCTTAACCAGCGTTTTGGTACCGAATGCGTGGAAACACAAAAATACTATGCAACATTCTGCGCGGTGCTACAAGCTAGGGGTGCAAGGGAAAACACCTGATTGCATGCTGAAATGCAGCGACGGTGCTCCCAAAGAAGAAAGCGATGTGCCCTTCTATTTGTGATATGGATGGCTGAATACACCAGATTGCTAATAATCCACTATTGTATAAAATATTGTTATAATGTTAAGTGTTAAACATAAATAGATATATTAACATATTATCTCGCCGTTGGAATATTGTATGAAGAATGTCTGTTTTTAATGTTATTCAAAATAATCTCGAGTTCTCCGTTTTTTTTGTTGTAGCATTTCATACATGATAAACAAAATTGAATCTTATGAGGTGATGTTGGGTATACTACTTGTCGAGTATTTTTAATGTATTATGGATAGATGGGATTGTTTTACAATTGACTGGTGATTTCGAGAGTAGCGCATGATTATCTATTGACGTTGTATTGATAGTGAATTTTGATCTCACTTCGATGTTGTCCGAAATCACATTTGATTTAGGTAAGGATGTAAATTCCTTTTTAAGGCAATACATCAATGCCTTATTGTTTGTAATGCTAGATACGAAATTGACCAAAAATATGGATATCATTCAAAATTGCTGCTGAGAGCTTTTTACTTGTTTGAAAAACAAAAGAGCAACACCATTTAGAAAGATATCGCTATTGAATATATGTATGTATGTGTCCAAATGTAATAAAAATGTTTAGTCCTAAAATTAGTCAATTTAATATTACTATAATGAATCGAAATAGGATTAGTTTTTTTTTTATATAATTTCTGGAAGAGTTCTTTACGACTAACTTCTTAGCTTTTATATGTATAACTTGGTTGTTGTTAATTCGTTTATTTCGTTTATGAGTAGGTCTTAATGTAGTTAGTGATATTACTGGCAATAATTAGTAATACGTCATATGACGAGCTGGGTTTGACACCAGAATTAAAATATAGAGCACTGAAGTCCAAATTTATGTTGACTTGTAACTTTGGCATCTGCAGTTATCGTAGGAATGGTACGATTTACGCGTTTACAAAAAAAATAACAAGATGCACAAAACGTTTTCCGAGAACTTTCGCTATCGGTTCCTTTGTAGGTAGCACGATTCTTTTGCGTCCTTCCCGCACTTGTCTCGATGCGAAGACTGAACGCAGTGTCCCGAATGGATTATACCTTATGTAATTTAAAAACGCACTGTACTGTTAAGGTCTACTATTAGAATAACAAACGCTGCCTTTTAGTTAAGTCTGTGTTGCGTATGTATTTATTATTAAATTAAATTTACTGGAATCAGTAAGAATTTGACTTGTTCTAAATTTTCAAAAGCAATTCGTAAAATTTATGGATTATTATTCTTTTATAAGATGTGAACATTAATGACATAGTCATTATGAAATCTAATAGTATTTTGCATACTTATACGATATAAAACACTAAACTTGTATAATTACACTATTATAATCCAATCAGAAGCAATAAAGCCAACTGTAAAATTTATAGATACGTAGTTCGCAATGGTGGCGACATCTCCTATCGCACTCGGCTGTGACATAGAACTTAGGACATTGTTATAAATTGCTAACATGAAATTAAAGTTTGTAATTAATGTATTTAACACAACGATATTATTTTCTCTAGATGTGTTATACTTAACAAAATATTGGGCGTAGCAACATGAAGCGCAGGCCACACCGCGAGCGAAGCCAAGCTAACTTAGCTCACGTAGTTGCATACAAAGTTAAGCTAAGAAAATACGTAGTAAGTAGTGACGTGCTGCGCTATGGATAGGTGGAGAGTGAAAGGCGGCAGAAGGGCGATATATTTTTCATAGCTTAGCGGGATCGTTGATTAGTTTAACTCTGCGCGGTGTGAATAGATGCCCCAGCTACATTATTAAGCTAAGTTAGCTTAGCTTCTCTCGCAGTGTGACCTATATATATATATATATATATATAATATATATATATATAACTATGAAGTCTAGAGGAAAGACAACACACGTCATCTGTTTGAAAACGCGTCGTTTCAGTACCTCCGTTTTCAAGCGCCGCCCTCTACATCGAAGTTTTAATAACGTTACTTAATTTGCCTAAGTTACCCTTCTAGAGACTTTATAGGGAGTCACCACACTTATCGACACAGGTACGCATTAAGCCAGTCAAAAAATCTTTATAAGAGCGAAAATGTGGTGTGTTTAGCATCGCGATCCGAGCGGAAGCAACGTCTTCGCTCTTGTCGGCTTCTCGGTCGATCGCTCTTTTCTGACCGGCTCGAGGCGATGTGAGTAAATGTGGCGAGTTCCTTTGTCCGCTGATCTAATTTCGGAATCCAGCAAATGTGTCTTATTACAATTTTTTTTATACTTTAGTCAACAATACTGATTTCAGTGTAGTTTTAAACATTGTTGCATTGTGTGCATATTTCGAGAGTTTTATTAGTTAGTGAACGTTCCTGGTATAATAGTTTTTAAACAGATCAAAATAGCTAAGAGTGAAAGGGTTTCACTGTGCTATGGTAGCGCGAGCAGCTTTTCTAGTTACACAAATTTTAAAAGTGCCAAGTGATTAATTTTTTCGTGCATAAGTACGATTGAAAATTGTATATTATTTTATGAAACTGGCGACTGTGAACGTATTGGAGTGTCCAATGCAAAGGTAACGGTACCTTACGGAGGATATTAATAAAGACAACCAAGAACATACTCGAAACGTGTGACCGACCATTAGGTACCTATGCCCGGAGACTACCAATTTTAAGCGAATTTTTATGAAGTACAAACCAGATACGAGCCAAAAATAAAATGTAAATTGAGCCTAATTCAGTTAAAAATGTAAAAATCTGAGTTATATAATTTGAACAGTGAAGAAATTATTGAAACCACTTCCATCGCAAAAAAATCTGAAGTCGCGGTCGCTAGAAATACTAACCGTAAGATATGTTTCGAATCTAATAAACAGGCTGATTTAGATCTTATGAACAAGTATTTTTACACATCTAGTCCCCAACAGAATTCACATTGGTGCAATTTAATATTTATTAAAATAAAATTGTTACCGTCATTAGTGTAGTCCACTTCATTTGTCATAAATTGACACACTTCACAGTGTGATTGAAAACTTCCCGTCAAGTCAACTTCAATTGCTTATGAACGATCCGACATGGCAACCTAGACAATTTCTATATCATCAATTAGACTGTGAATGGTTCAATCTATGTTCAGGTCTTCTGCTAAACACTTAACGAAACATCACCATACATGGGGCAACAATAATGATACGAACACTTTGGCGGTCTATCTACTTAGGTTTTAAAGATGTATGTAGTAATGCTTATTAATTATAATTATTTTTATACGAGAGGTTTGATTATTTAAGTTACGGTTAATTTTAGCGATAAGATCCAAGGCTGTATTAATAAAAGGAGTGTTTTTCCCCAATGAAGCGAAGTTGATTTTTGTGTAATTTTTGTTTATAACATTGATTTGATATAATTGTGCAAAAATACTCCTGTTGGTTGTAATAGGTGATGCTTACTATTTAAATAAAAAAAGACGAAATGTTTAAAAAAAATGAGGAGTTTGAACCCGAATGTGCATTGTCTATTATGATCAGCTTTCTAAGTTATGTGGATATTTGTGTATGACTAATTATAAAAATAATCCTTTATTTTGGTAACAAATTGGTGTTATGAAAGTTTTGTGAATAAAGTATGGTGTCATTCTGAAGAATGTATTATTTATTTTCTAATTTAACATCACAGCACCTTAAGGGTCGTATTCGAGAACTCTACTCAATGCTCAAGTCAGGATTTGAGCAGACTTGAGTATGATTTCAAGCAGTGCAAATACGAACCTAATGGCAAGGACTTGAGTATGATTTGTAGTGCTTTGAATCATACTCAAATGGAATACGACCCTGTCGAGTACGAGTACAAGTCTGGTGGGCTGGCTGCATCGCGTATATAACCAGAAATAGAGACGAAATGTCAATTTGTTTGAAAACTATGCTGCCATATTACTGTGACAACTGCGCTCCGATTGGCTAGCCCGAGTTCGAAACAATTGACGGGTGTCGTCAACTGAACTTCAAATTGACCAGTTAACTTGAACTTTGCTATAATGGACGAAAATTGCAAAATTACATATTTACCAACGAATAGAACAGCACGGCATTGTTAGAGATATCTTTATTACAATAAATACAGAATATTTTTTGGAATATACGGAGACGTACACACAGGTCAGTACAAACAAGAGTTATAATTATAAGAGCTGTATCGCTAATGTGTTACCATGAATATATATTTCGTCTCTATTTCTGGTTGTATACTCGATGGCTGGCTGTATATATTTTTCGCTTTCGCGCCATTTTTTAGACATTAATGTCACGTGTAATTTCATTATTTTGTCAAAGCGGGACATTGTTCTGTATTTTGGGGACATTGGGACACAGCTTAAAAAGGGACGTATGGTCACGTTACCCATACGTTTGGTTATAAGTGTGGCCCAACTAGTTTAGTGACAGTAGAGCTCCATGTGAAAGAGTTCGTCCAGGAAAGTACTGCCAACTTAACTATTTCTGCAGCCAAGCAAGTAATGTGAACATCACTGCGTTCCGGTTCCGATTTTGAAAGGTGCTGGTGAAATTACAAGCACATGAACGTTGGTGCCCCTCAAATCTTTGCGATTTAAAGCTTGTGAATGACACTGCAACTGCTGTGGACAGGCGTTTTGCTTACTACCAGGCACACGACTCGTTCGTCCCGTCACTTGGAATCCTTTAAAAAAACTTCCTTATTTTCTGTCATATTGTTCAAATGAAAAAAGTCTACAATCAGGTAACATTATTTATTTTACGATTACAAACTGAAGGTTTACAATTTATTTTTCAGTACGCACGATATTCTGAAACAAAATAATCCAGTGTGCGTCCCTTATTCCTGTGTAACCATGATCGACGTTTTGTAATTTACACAATTGGCATTATGTTTGTAATGCTACTGTTGCACAATTCGCTAACCACTAGGCTAACTTAATTTTTGGACCTGTTCCGTTTTTTTTGTTTTGTTTTTCGAATTCTGTTAGTTTATTTTTTTTCACAAAAACCGGGGAGCATAATATTAGTAAATAAATATGGCTGTTTACAAAAATAACAGAAGATGACCAAAAAATAAAGTAGCCGTAGTGTTTGATCATTGGAGGTATCGATTTAGTCTAGTCTCATAATAGCCTCATTTAAATAGCATGATGGCATTTTGACTGATCTTTACAGGGTAATCTCTATCTCTGCCATTTTGTTTTTTTTAAACAACATATTATTGGTTTGTATGCGAAACGAGAACCTAAAAACTACTTAAAACATACCCGAACCCTGAACTTGAAGACGAGGTAGAACAGCAGAACTATGAAAGTGGGTAATATTGCCATCATCACCAATGCCCATCCGGGGCCCGGGTCTGGAGATCCCGACGCGATGGTCATCCAAAACGTGCACTGAAATAGTCGCAATACGCATTTTTATTTTTACTACATTTACGTGAAATCGTAATGTATTGGCACAGTCAACAGCACATCATACTGTACACTTTTGTTCGAATATCGCCCATTGCAATAAAACAAGATCCGTCAATGTGTAGCATGATGTGCTGCCGTCTGTACGATCATCAAAGTTCAAGCCTTCTCAGTCTCAGGATAATCGTGTTTGTAATCTGAGATTTTAGCTAGCATTTTCGCTTTTTTTGTTGACCCTTTTTTGAAAAACTTTTTGTTTATAGTAGAAGTTAAAAAACCACTCTTGCCTTCACGCAAAAAGAACGCTTAAGGTGGTAACGCGCCAACGTTGCTGACAGTATATGAAACGTAGCAGTAGAGCCCCTTGTGAAAGAGTTCGCCAGGGAAGTACTGCCACTTTACCTATTCTACCGCCAAGCAGTAATGTCAGCATTACTTTGTTCCCGTTTTGAAAGGTAAGGGTGCTGGTGAAATTACCGGCACATGGAACTTATCAACTTATGTCGCCGGGTGACGGGCGCAGTGGCAGTGCCCCTCAGATCTTTGCGATTTAAAGCTCTTGAGTGGCACTACAATTGTTATGGACAGGCGTGTAGCTTACCATCAGGTGTACGACTTATTCGTCCCGTCACTAAAATATTATGAAAAAAAGTACATTATAAATGGACATTAATGGTCCCAAAAGAGTGTATTGGTATGTCAAGAGTAAAATTTAAAAAAATTGTTCTAAGGCTGGAAATTTGCACTTAAAATATTATCGTCTTACCAAATAAATTGATATGGCTAATTGATAAAGTTATAAACCTATTATCTTTAAAACCTGTAAGAGGTGATGGCTCTTAAGTTTAACACAACGAACGCAAATAATTACTTACAAACAGAAGCAAAGGTGCGACAGCCCATGATACCCTGAGGAACACGCAAGGGTACTCCCCAACAGCAAAATAGACGTCCTCGCAGAAGGTAGTCTGTCCGTAGACGAACGTGACAATTGCGGCGACAACAGTGCCCACAACCACGCGTGGCTTTGTCGCCGGCCAGTTCATTAGAAAGTTCAACATGTAGAGTCCAGTCTAGTAAAAATACAGTTATTTAAGCAGTCTGCATTATATAATACGGCCTTCACAGGTTTCTAAAGGGTATATGTGTAACGGTGAAAGACAAAGACCTCGCCCAGGACCATTAGCACGACAGCGACTTGTGCGAGAAGCGACAAAGAAGCGCGAGAGTACCACGATATCTCGCGTTTTTATGTTGCGTTCCGTCATGCTGACTCTGCAGGTACTACAGATACTTCAATACTGAATTTAAATTTTAAATCGATAAGGCCAAGACTTTGCCGTGTCTTTTCGATTTAAAAACAAACAGCAGGTAATATGTTTACCCGACTATGTTGCCGTCCAAAGAAGGCAATGTTTTATGCAGTGCCTACGGGTCTCTAATAAGACATTTTAAATTGCTTGTAAAAAATAGAACCAAAATTTTGTGTCATTTAAAGTTCTGTAATTTTCTGTTTTAGTCTAATTAATTGACAAGGCTTTTAAAGTAGAATTGAAGACTTAAAAAAGAATTGTTTTCCTTTTAAAGTAGTAAACAGAGAGAGAAAGGGATGACAAACACCTACTACGATAGGTTTGTCAAACTATCTAGGCTAACAATTAGAAGTGACAGAATCGACATAATTTTCCCATCAAACCTGTGTGCACAATGTGATAACGCCGATAACACAGAAAAGAAAGCAGAGTAGTACGAGGAAAGCCCACGAAATATGGCGAATGGAGCGCCCGGTCAGGGTAGATATTATTGTTTGTATTAGCAATGCCTGCAAAGAAAATTATAACGAACAAGTTAAAAAACAAGAAAATTCAAAATTCATGAAACTCGAAAATCTACTTTATTTCTTTCTATGAAAACTTCATATATCTGAAAATGAAACAATTTTTTGGGGTCTAAATTACGTGAACTTATTTGTTTTAAAAAAAAATGTTTTTGACCCCCATTGGCACTGTTGACGGTGGTCATCAACCAGTATTTCTAATATTAATATTAAAGCAAACCACCCTATTTTGAACAATAGTTATAAAAGTTGTTATAATAATATAAATACCTAATTTTTATTTACCAAAGAACATTCCAATTTTCGTTACATACGATTTGCGAAGTATTTAACAAAAATAATTTTGTTTTAGAATTTTGTGTGAGAAATAATTATTTCTGGGATTTCGTATTCCAATAATGGCGCCGAGTGAGTACTCCTGGCCATGTTTTTTTCTTCTTTTCAAATAATGAACTTTTTATAAAGAAAAACGCGTATTGAATTTGTAAAATTGTTCAGTATAAACAGCAAGATTTGATGGTAGCTGTGATATAAGATTTTATCGAGTCTCGATTTTGTAACTTGAGAAATGACCAAATATAGTAACACTACGTAAGGTAGGCATGATCAAGTAAGAGTTGAGCCCGCCGTATCTACACAATATGACATTTAATTAAGAATACAACTTACAGAAGAAGATAGTGCGAGCGTGAATATAGTGAAGAATACGATGACTGACCAGAATTGGCTACCGGGGATCCTCGCGGCATAGTCCGCCCATAATACCATTGAAGATGACGTTCCTGAGATGTTTGATGAGTTACATTAGCTCCATACTTTCATTTAAAATACATTAAATGGAGACGTACGATTTTTCCCAAAATTGCTATCTTATCATCACCGCGACCCCTGTATATTGTGCACGAAGTAAGGCTTTCAGGTCCATCTATTATTTAAAATAATAAGCAGGACAGGGAGATGTATGATTTTTCCGAAAATTACCACCCTATCATAAGCGCAACTCATAGGTATATCTATACTGAGCACTAAGAAGTGTTATCTGGTCCATCACGTTATAGGTGCGGGTTCAAAGTTTCACACGTCTTCGAGAGTTTTGAACCTACTCCGATATGCGGAATTCGTTACCATTCCTTCACCGATATAACAAGTTACATTTTGGTACATAATACGAGAAATACTCACTGATGCAGGACCTTAAGTGGATATTAAATTCCGCCTACAGCTAATAGATAGATAAATAGATAAACACTTTATTCACTAGTATGACACAAATACAGACTGAATACAACAGGAAAAATAAAACATTTATATGTAAAATATTTATATGTAATAACAGTGAAATGACGCTGACTCAGCATATGCTTAAATTCTGTAAGGCGCTGGTTTTTAGTCAGAACCAACGAGTGGTACTAAATCTAGAAGTTATTTGTAATGGAAGACCTAATAAACTACTATGAGGGAAATTGTACATTAAAATAATAAGTATAATAAAGTGTGAATAGTGCATCTAAAGTAACCTATTCAATATGTAAATGCATGTACAGATTTGAATAAGTGTAACTGTAAATGAAAATAATGATTGCGAATATGTTTTGGTATAATAAATCAAAGTAAAAATGTATATTTAGAAAGGCTACGAAGAAGAGTACATAGGGATGTGAAAACTACTATTAATATTAAAATTTCAACAAGTTAGACGTTGCCGGTAAAATGCTTTGAATTAGTGCTTAAAAAAAATTCTAGGACATATAAATTCTAGAATTCTAGAATATTCTATAATATCTCACTTACCACCCCAAATGTTAGTGGTATTCTCATAATCGTTATGCAAGGCGCCATGAACAGCGCCCAAGATCAATGCCACAGCCATACTGCTGGTTTTCGAGGCTGCGAAAGCTAGAAGCGCAGTCCGCGCGAGAGCGTGTTGCTGTTTGGGACAGTATGTCCCTAGCATTACGAGAGCCCCTTGGCCTACTGTCATTTCTAGAAGAGCATATTCTATTGCTTCACGCCAGATCTATAAAGCAGGTGATTATTTTCTAAATGTGTAAGTTTTGGCTTGTGTGTTTCGCACGCAACATCTAGCGAACATCAAAGAAAGAAAATGGCGTCTAACTTGAATATGCATACTTGAAATGCATCTTGAAATTTAGCGTGAAGTATTAAATTTATTACATTTTCAAAAGCTAGACTTCAGAAATAGAGACCTAGCAATATTAACACTTCACCCATGTACGTCTGGCTGACATTCGTAATAGCTGGCCATACAAAGCACTTACCTACCTAGCTTCAAAGGAGAACATTATAAAGATAAATAAACGCAAAAAGCTATTTGCCTGTAATTCAGTAAGGACGACGCTCCAGTCCGCATCTAGAAACATCCGTCCGGCACCACGTAACCGAGACACGCCTATTGCGCAACACAGCAGCATGAAATATGCCATCAAGTCTTTGAATAACACCACCTTAATTAACAGATATTATATCAATTGTTTTGAAAGTAATCTATCAAAATATGAAATAAAATACGAACATGGCTACTTTTTTCCATATGAAATGTACAAAGACATAGGAAATGCGCTATTAATATTATTACATTTGTTAGTAAGTGACATAATAGTACATTATGATATAAGTGCAGTAAGTTGAAAGTTACAGCCGAGGCGATATTGCTAGCCCGAGCCATGGGCGAGGGCTATAAGAAAGCAGAGGCTGTAATTTTCAAAGCGCACGTATGTCATACGACGTTTTATAACATATTTGCGAGGAAACAAATAAGACTCTGACTTTCTTAAACGAATAAATCTTTAATTACTTGTTAAAGCAGTAATAGAAATTTGAACAATTTTTAAAAGTGATTGTTACGTTGCCAGTTAGTCAAGTTATTATTATTAGTTACAATCTCCCCAGTCTCTCTCTCACTCTCTTGAGTGAAAGTAGGAGAAACGAGACCACAGAGTTCTGCAGTCAGTGGCGGAGGCGGTTGCGGCTGCGGCGACGATGGTGGAATGTACGCGTGTGTGCTCGTAGATGGTTGAAAGTCAACACTTGACTCCAAATTTATGTTCCTTGTAATGCGAGAGCTAATTTCTTCTTTATTTCTTATCGAGTCTTCTATGTATCCTTCGGCTACATTGCTTGACCGCCATCCTGCGTGGCGTTTTAGTGTCAATAAGTCCGCACCTGAATCGGCGAGCAATGTAGCCGAGGACCTTCTGAAACTGTGCCCTGTGTATTCATGTGTTTAAGGCAAATTTAAGAAAGTGGCAATTTCTTTCGGCATTGCTCCCAATTAATTAATGCCAATGGGTTGGTTAGTGCATTTTCCATTTTGGTAATTTTGAAAAAATCTGTTGGAATTAGCTTTTGTTGAACGAAGCGCTTCGTATTTCTTCACTACGACGTAAAAAGGCCCCTGCATTGTAAACGACCTTGGAATTTTATTTTTTGTGTTTTTGACCTGGACAAGAAGAACCCGCCCATGGTTCTCGACATCATTAGTTGTTATGTTTGCCAACTCTTGACGTCTACATGCACCATTTTTACCGAATATTAATACAACCTGAAAAGAGATAAAAAGAACGTATAAACACCTATATTGTAAAGAAATACGAAAGTGAAAGAAATTAATAACAATAATTTAGTTTCAACTCACCTTTGTTGCCAAATATCGCCAATCCGGAGTTTCTTTTAGGAACTTCTTGATATTGTCAGCCGAAAATACTTTCGACTTTTTACTTACATGGCCATCTGAGCGTCTTTTTAGAAATGCTATCAAGTTGGAGTATGACTTGATATCAATACCATGGTTTGTTTTCATAGTGCTTTTTAGCATTGAATAGTAGCACCACAATGAGCTTGACTTATATTTTTGAGAAAGTTCCATGAAATAGGCTAAAAACACATTTTCTGAAAATGAATTTGCATCTTTGCTTGTTTTCCATATGATGAAATTTTGATACGCTTGTAAGTATCTATCGGTCGATTTTTCAGGTAAGAGGCTTAGAGTAGCCTTTTTCGCTGCGTTTAAGACTTGTGGCGGTGTCAAATTAATAAATTCATCACTACTTGACGACATTTTCAAATAAAAACAATACAGCGAAAAGAAAAAGCGCGCGAAATAATTTTTACTTGTCCACAAATTAGCCATGCGCGCGCATCAACATTTTTTTTAGGCAAAGGTATAAAAATAGCCAGTATTACTAATAAAGTAAATTAATATTTTTGTGTTTTTGTTACAGATAAATGGTTGTAATTTATTGTCAAAATTAATTAAATGAAAGAATTAAATGTTTATTTACTATATTTTATCTCCCAAAGTTAATTTTATTCATAAAATATTGACCACTTTTCTAACATAAAAACTCGTTGCAAAGATTTAAAAAAGTATCGTTCATTTTTAGACGGAGCATCTTAAAAAACCGTGCATGTTACTTTATTACAAAAAAACTCGTGCGTTTTACATTACAATAACGCACAACTGCGTAATGAAATACATTACGATATTGAAATTGGTGTGATTTCAGCCACTTTACGAGCAAATATGTTATAAATATGTAAAATAAAATAATTGTTGCTCATTTGCAAACTTTTTGAATTTCGTCTTCCGCCCATTGACCATGCTTCGCCATTTTGTTCATTCAAAGCGAAACGTATTAAACAAAAGAATGTTACTAATTTTGAAAAAAGAATAAATGTCGAATGCCTAAAATACAATACAATAGTGGCCTGCATTATCTTTGAATTGAAAATAGCCAAAAGAGATTTCCACCGCCTCTCGTCCCTTAATATAATACTCAAATATATCAACCCTAAAATTTAATGATTGTTCTATTATGTATTTTATAGACATATATTTATGCGAAATATTTTATAATGTCACAGAATATTTTATAATAAATTTCACTACGGGTGTACGTTTCATTGAAAGCAACTGCATAATAATACATTAAATAAATTAAATATAAATAAATAATCACCACTTTGACGACATTCGTTTCACACGGGCTAACCATTACCGGGTGTATTTTTAGAAATGACCATTTTCAGCTAGCATAATACGCATACAGCGTATTTTTTTACGCGCAGGGGATCCACGTTTAACAAATGCGCGTTTAGGGCGCCGTAGAAGTTCAATAAAACGTATGCAAAGTATTGGCTGCGGTTGAATCTCATTAGAATCACGTCAACGCACATCGTCCGAGCGCGTAAAATGCATCGGCTCTAAAATTTAATATTTTTTATAAGTAACTAGTATTCAGAATTCACCACACTTATTGTCGTGAAAACGTCTTGAGTCGGTGACAAAAAGCTACACATGGGGAAAGGGTTACATTTCTATCACCGTGACTATCGTTCCATTTACAAGAAGTCACAGTGATAAATCAGCGTGATTTTGTCACGTCTGTCACTTATATCACGATAAACGGTTTTATTTAACAAGTGGTTACTTTCTAATAAATAGTCGTTATTAATACTCACTTTGATAAACGTCCAATTTCATTTGAAAAATTGATCCGCAATGACCTTGGCATTTTTACAGGCTTGACTCATTATTTGTTAATAAGACCATGAGGCGTATTTATTATTTTGGATCTCCATTTTGTACAATTATCTTACTGGTATTTACACGGTATTTACACTGATCTAACTATTTTTTGGTTCATAATTAAAGTTGCAAATAAAAGCGAACTATAATGAGTAGCGCAGTCGCCTGTCTCTACAGAACGGAGATCGCACATGATTTTGTTTGTAAAATACGTCGTATGTCGTGATTTGAGAGACAGACAGAGTGGAACAGAGGAACAACCTATGTCGTTTCTTCGTAAAAAGTCACGGTGGCAGTGATGACAGAGCCTTTTAAGGCGTTTTACAACGACTTTAACACGTTTTAGTCCTATAAGTCTTTTAAGCATCCTTCGACTCGAATTAGTCTTCAATTTTAGTCTTATGACTCAAGACTTGACGGTTAAAAGACTAGACTAGTCGTGAGGCGTCAAAAATGAGTCGAAGTTTGTTAAAAAGCCTTAAAAGACTAAGAGTCGTATTCCAGAACTGTACTCAATGCTCAAGTCAGGGTTTGAGCAGACTTGAGTATGATTTCAAGCACTGGAAATACGACTCTAATGGCAAGGGAACTTGAGCATGATTTCTAGTGCTTTGAATTATACTCAAGTCCTGACTTGAGCATTGAGTAGAGTTCTAGAATACGACTCTCAGTCTCTTTCATCACTACACGGTGGTACTATACTATTTTTTAATCGTGACGTTATTTATCACCCACCTCAACAAAAAGGTTACCAAGCCGAAGCAAAACGCAACGTCTTTTCCGCTGTTACTGCGTTATTTTTTTTCTGACCGACTCGTATAAGTGCAGTGACTACCTCAGAGACAACGTTTTATTGACTAAGAGAGAGAGAGAGAAAACCGTTGTAGGTACCACTAAAACATTGTGCAAGGTTCACCTTAGAGTAGCTATATATGCGTTTGATAGCGATTCCGTATATAAGAATCCAGCAGAGGACATAGTATAAAGCCAGCTCGCGCACGATGGTTCCCATGCCCGTTTCCAGGCCGTCGCACTTCAGATTTAATATGAAGTTGCTGGAAATACATTAACAATAATGTTTACACGATTATTTTCAATACTTTATCAGTGGCAAAATTTCCACAATCAACTGAATAAGTATTGGTTTGGGTAGCTTGCACTCGTGATTCTACACTAGAGTACTGTACATGTAGAGCGTAAGTACCTAACCTCTATAGCGACCGTAGCATTAGATAGGACTGGACAAAACACATGCGTCTTAAAAATATAAATTGCGAAATACGTTCTCACATGTATTCAAAATTACAAAATACGTTCGTGAGGTGTATTGATAATATAAAATACAAAATACTATATTTTGCCCTCAATTATTGAAATTATTACAACATATGGTTATTACCACTAACCGGGCAGTATAATATATAGCTTTCCACATGCAATACGTCCTTCAAGGAGAGATGAGTTAGATACGTTTTCAAAGAGCCTAAACAACTGAAATATCCTACGAGATCCTTCAAGGCGATGCCATTCCAGTTATCGGATAATATTTATATTATCCGGTAGCTGGAAAGGTAATATTTATATTATCTATATTATCTATTATATTATCTATATTATTTATATTAGCTGGTAAGATAATATTTATATTATCCGGTAGCTGGAAAGGCATACCTTAAATAATTAAAGTTATAATAAATATAATAACATTAATAAAAATGGAAGTAAATTAATTTGCCATTCCACGAACTCAATGAAGGTTAAATCGCTGTGCAAAATAGCTGCACTTGTATTGAATCTTGAATGTTTTTCTCATGCAGTCAATTTTCCCACTCTCCCTCCGCGTAAAATTAATAATATATATTTGATAACACGCGCGCAAGTACAGTCATTAATACCAGCGCCAAAAATATACCTGGCACGTGTTTCGCATCTCTCAGAGGCATCGTCATGGATTGTTGTCGATTTAATAATCAATATACCATCTGGGCCCCAGAGTGTCTTTGAGAGATAAGTTTAAAGAGATTAACATTCTTACACTGGCGTCACAGTACATTTATGAAAATATTATTTACGTTAAGAAAAATATTATTTCTTTTATGAAAAATGGTGGGAGACAACATTAATACGAGGAATAAAATTAAACCAGCTGTTCTTGACAGCTATCTTCATAAATTCTCAAATTCATTGAAGGGGCAATGTATACGCTTCTACGAGCCTCGATGCAAAAAAATTCGCCTAGTTATGCATTACGCCGATTCGGTTTTTCATCTTGATTTATTTAAAAAGGCACGAGCAACAAACAAGTAATACAATGTAGTCCATTAAAAGGGTCACTTTTGCACTATTGAAGAAAAAAGTATATTTCTAACTGGTATAATAAAATTCCGATTGATATTCAAAATTTGCCATTTACGAAGTTTAAAACTATCGTGAAACAAAAAGTTTATACAAAAGGTTATTATACATCTTCTGCGTACTTGGACGACTAAAAACCGTGGTAGTAACCAGTTTAGCTCTTTTATGTAGGTATTTCGATTAAGATGTTTCAATTTAATATTGCAATAATAAATGTATTCAAATGTAGGTATATTTACAAAGAGCAACCTCTAGAGTTTCTTGCTTATTCTTCTCAGGGGAATCTGCCTTACTAATGAACAGTAGAGTTTAATCAGTATGACGATTTCAAGTGTAATTTGCTTACTTATAAATAAATAAAGATTATTTGACGTTGACTGGGTTGGAGGAATAGCAAATTAATTTACTCCCATTTTTATTAACATTTCAAACGTTTAGGAACTTAGAACAACGTAGGTACCTAACTCATCTTACCTTCGAGGCGTATTGTATACGAAAAGTCATATATATTATATATATATATAATGTGTGTGTATATATATATATATATATAAAATACTGCCCAGTTCTATTGTTTGTGACACTTTAACCCGAGTTGATTGTTGTTTATTTTATTATATCAAGCAACAGGACGAACAATTCGTGCTATTGGTGGTAAGCAACACGCCTGTCAAATTGCAACGATCTGAGGAGCACTGTCACCCGCGCCCGTTACTCTGAGACGGGTTGAGTTGGCTATTAGATATATGAGATGGTTAAGTTGACTATTGCCTGTATTATAATTTCACCAACACGCTTAACCCTTCAAAACCGGAACGTAAATAATGCTCATATTTCTGCTTTGAACCTATATACTATTTACGTAAGTAAAAATAGCACGGTTTGAGCGTTTGAAGGAATTTGCTAACAGCCATAGCCTTTATTGTAAAGCAAAATCTACTAACAAAAAGAATGACTGCGCTGGAGTGTCACTGCCCGGCGGCAAGGGCCTATGCCTGGCCGCGCAAGGCGGGTTGGCTGTTGCAGCACAGTGAAGCCAGGGTAGAAAGACATGGAAGGAATGCACCAGAAATGCTAGTGACCATGCTGCCACGAGTCCAGCGCCGAGTGCCGTCCACATTGAGACCATTAGCATTGATAGGCCTACACCTGGAATATACTTAGATTGATTTAGGTAAGTATATTTTTGATGTTTAGGCAATAGTTTTAAGTAAAATGAAGCGGTTATGTACGACTGACGGTGTAAGCCACTTATCGGTTAACCAACCATCTGATCTGAAATTAGGGAATGCCCTGTACAACGAGTAGCAGAGTTTCAAATTTAACTCTGCACTATCCAAAATAACCAGACCAGCATAGCAAATTTCGGAACGCTAGGTTCTACCCGGAGGCGCAATTCCGAAAATTTCGTTTCCTATATTGGTTCTATAGGGAATCTAACATGGGTCCTCCTCACCTAGCACACACATTACCAACCGTTGGGCTTACGAGGTCGTCACTATGGGTTGACCAAAAAGTCCGTACGGTTTTTACCGCTAACGCACTTGAAATAAAAAAAATAATAAAAATGTTACATTGTCTATGGTCATTTAAAAAATAAAATTTTAGCGCGCAGAACAATCAGGACAGTTTTAAGTTTCTAATTCTAATTCATGAAAAACACCTAGAATTGGTGGCAAATAGTATAAAGATGTCTAGGTATCACAAATTATAAGATATTTCATCAACATAAAGTCAAACTACACAACATCTTTACAAAGCGGACAAAAAACTACTGCAGTTAAGTTGGGATGCGTTATTTTATCCAGTATTTTTACCCCGACATAACCCTTTGAGATTTTCACGTATTTCGATCTGTTTATAATTCTTTGAACGGACACGACTTTGATAACGGAGAGCCCATCAAACGAGATTTAGAGCTGTGTTTTATGGTTAAAACTGGGCATTTATATGAAAGGAAATTGTACATTTATCCGAAAGCAAGAATCTTTGCCCGAAAGTTAACAAAAGATTGCAGATCAACATGGCCAATACGTAGTTGATAGAAGTTTGATTTTTTAAATATTTTTTTTACTTTGATACTGTACGGGCTTTTGGCCTTTTTTTCTTTAGTCTGTTTACATACTCTTTATACGAGTAGGCATGGAGTAGGTAATGATATTATACTTGTGAGTATGTATATTTAAAAGCATAGACAACTAAAGGGTTTTTCATTAAGAGCGCTCGAACTTTGAAATGGAATAAAACAACCTGTTAAAGTGATATTGCCACAATTTTTATTTTATTTTAAAGAACATTTGATGACATTATGTATGGAATATAATTTCAGCCAAATGGCCACCGCGACTCCGCTGAAGGTGGTGTATCCTGGTGGACCAATTTTGGATGACATTTTCGCATAAATTGGGCTCAATCTCATAAAGAACGCGAGTTATGTTGGCCTTCAGGGCAGCAATTCTCTGTGGTTTGTCAGCATAGACTCGAGATTTTACGTAGCCTTACAGAAAGTAATCGAGCGGTGTTAGATCACAAGATCTCGGTGGCCAGTTAATGTCACCATCACGCGAGATAACAAAGCCGAGCAATAGCATAGCCGAGATAGCAAAGTTCGAGAACTTCTCATCCAATAAATTTAATGTTTCCCGTGCAGTATGGCAAGTGGCGCCATCCTGCTGGAACCACATGTTCGTGAGATCCATACCATTGATTCTAGGCCACAAATAATTTTTAATCATCATCCGATATCGGTCGCCATTGACAGTGAACGCGACTCCTTGCGCATCTTCAAAGAAATAAGAGCCAATGATACTGCCGGACCAAAATCCACACCAAACAGTGACTTTTTCGGAGTGTAAAGGCACCTGATGGACCTCCCGTGGATTGTCCTCGCTCCAAATCCGGCAATTTTGTTTATCAACAAAACCACTGAGCCAAAAATGAGCCTCATCACTAAAGGTGATTTTCTTCCCGAAAGCAGGGCCAACCGCAAAATGGTCTAAGGCCCAATCCGCGAATTCACGGCGCTGTCTATGGTCGTTGGGTTTTAGCTCTCGAGTCAATTGCATTTTGTATGGATGAAAACCCAAGTCTCGACGCAAAATTAGCCAAGTTGATGTCGCGGAAAGACAGCTCTTGCGCACGACGCGGAATGGACTGTTTGGGGTTTTCTCGCACGCTATCTCGAACGGCAACAATATTTTCCGACGATCTTGCATTTTTTTGACGTACAGGCACTGCTTCATCCAAAACCGACCCGGTTGTCTCAAATTTATTAATTAAACGACGGATTGTGGACTCTGCAGGACGACCATGAATACCATAAATTGGACACAACGCACGGAACGTTAAGCGAACAGAGCACTGATTTTGAAAATAAATTTTAACAATTTCTACGCGTTGTTGAAGCGTGTAGCGCTCCATGGTGAAATGTCACGATTATATATGTTTTCCCGCGATTCGCTCTGGGCCTTTTGGAGGGAAAAGTGTCGTTTTTATTTTGACTTTCAATTATTTTGTGAAATCTAGTTTAAAGTGGAATAGGATATGTTATTGTGCCTTATGTGCTATTGTGCCTTAATCGTAGATTAAAACGCGAAATTATACGAATCTCCAACTAAAATACCCGTATCTGCCCGTTCTAAGGAATCCCGAGCCAATCCAAGCACGCCGCCTCAAATTGCCTATCCCCTTTGTGGCGGCCATATTTACAGAAACATAATTAAACAAAGACATGGCTCAAAAGACTTAATAATGTACCAAGACTTGGCTGTATGGTGTAAAACCTTTGCCTTTTCCTTTATGGAAAGAAGAAAAAAAAATGTTTTCCCGCCAAATTTGACAGCTATCGCTTTTCCAAGATGGCCGGTATCAACTTTCAAAGATCGAGCGTCCCTATTGAAAAACTCATTATGTACAGTTTAAAAGGTTAGAGCAGCGGACTGAAATGGATTTACATACTCACTTTGCCAGCAAAGATTATACATACTCACTTTCCACGCTCCATAAATGACAAGCTTTGTAGGCTATTTTTTAAACCGACTTCAAAAAAGAAGGAGGTTCTCATTTCGACTGTATTTTTTCTTTTTTGTGTACGTTACGCGATTACTCCGGCACATCACATTTGTGAACCGATTTAGATGATTCTTTGTTTGTTGGAAAGAGGCTACCTTAGTATTGGTCCCATTTAAATTTGAAGAAAATATTCCACCTCTAAGAGTGGGAAATTTCCGGTAACCTATTTCAATAAAACTTCGCAAATACCTAGATGACATTCCACGAACTTTTGAGGTCGGTCTTTTTTAATAAAAAAGCTATTTCTGAACGCGTTTGAGAAAATGTCTATTATATTTGCAGTCAATTAAACTGAATACACGATAATGAAAATACGTAAAGCAGTATAAACGATTTAAGTATTTAAAATTACCTCTAGCCATGGGTGCCAAATCCCAACACGTCACAACACCCTTCCTCGTGACGATGCCCAAAGCTAGTTCCAAATAAAACATCGGGTACCCAATGATGATACTGAACACATTGTACAGGAACAAAAACGGCAGCAGACGGCGGAGATCGTGCACATAAGGATGCCACCAGAACTGAACGATGCCTATGCATGATGATATTACTAGTTGCCGGTAGCTTATATTATTTGACCAACGGTCAGCTGCCTGTTAAATCAAACGAACGTTGTTACAGAGAAATCATCCGATTCGACCATCACCTTGAACTAGTGCATTTTTTAAAATGTTGCATTTCCTGTTTGATAATGAAATATGGGGAAATTACGCCTTATAATAAGTTAAATATACCTTCTTAACAATATTCTCCCTACCGAAAAATTCTTGCAAACGAAGTGTCTCTATATGGTTACTAAGACAGCTTCATAATTCCACTAGGAACTTATTATACCTCTCTTGTAAATATATGTTGCGCGTGCAACATATATTTACTAGCTACCTATACCACTACCACTTAGGGGCTTTTTCAACGCGAGGTTCGCTTGTAATGTAACAGTTTAAAAGCGAGCATTTCAGCCGTAAGAGAGGAGAACTAAGTATTCGTTGCGCAACACTTGCAGCATTCGGTAGCCTCCGTCACCGGGAGCATTCGCTTGTAATGTAACAATCTGTTCAGATTGCAAGGCTGCGACTCCACCAGATATAGTGGAAATGTTTTCAAGTCTTTACTTAAGCAAGGTGCCTGCGAGTGCCTGGAAGTGCCTTTGGCACACAATAGACTCACTCACTCATTTAGTAGCAGCGGGGCTGCTTGTGAAAGAGTTTGTCCAGGGAAGTACTGCCACCTTGCCTATTTCTGCCGCCAAGCAATAATGTCAGCATCACTGCGTTTCGGTTTTGAAGGGTAAGGGTGCTGGTGAAATTACAGGCACATGAGACTTGTCAACTTATGTCTCAGGGTGACCGGCGCAGTGGCAATGCCCCTCAGATCTTTGCGATTTAAAGCTCTGAGTGGCACTGCAACTGTAATGTACAGGCGTGTAGCATACCATCAGGTGCACGACTTGTTCGTCCCGTCACTTGATATTATAAAAAAAAGACGCTCGCAGGCACTAAAAGGGACAGTTTCCTCATGCTCCTACTGGGTGTTCCTACTGGTAGGAGCAGGAGGACTAATATGTCCTTATGCTCCTGCTGGTAGGCCCAAAAGAATAAATATGTATTCGTGTTCCTATTAATGTACTGTCACGTATATTTATATGTAATTGATAATCTACAACTCGTATGTATATTATCGATTCTCTAAGCTTATCAGCCTCTTCAGTGGAAGCTACTGACGTGTGCAGAATGTACTGGAAAAGGCTACAGCCGACAATCGTATTCCAATAAAACGGCGACGAGAGCATTTCTGTTACTATATTAATTTTAAAGAGCAATCCCTAGAGTTTCTTGATCATTCTTCTCAGGGAAATTTGCCTTACGAATGAGCGCAAAATGACGATTTCAGGTGTAAGTTTCTTCTTACCTATAAAATAAAGATATTTTTGACTTTATGTTGATTTTTTTTATTCTAGTTCAGTGTATTTATATAGATACGGCACGATAGGAGCATAAGGACATTAGTCCTCGTGCTCCTACTGGTAGGAGCACGAGGATTAATGTCATGAAGCGGCCCTCAAAGGCACTCGCGGGACACGCACGCCTTGCAACCTCGCACATCTGTGGTGGAATCGCAGCCTAATCGAATCTTGGATATTGCAATACAGGCAAATGCTCGTCGGTGAAGGAGGTATTACAAATACCATAATAGTAATGCTCAAAAACGAATCTTGAATGTTACATTACAGGCAAGTGTTCGCGGTGAAGGAGCGCCCTTTACGCATACATCTCACACATATCTTTAAGATTAATTAAGTACGTCTTAAACCAATGCTTACAATGCAAAAGACACTCTTAATATATTGTGTTAAGAATGTCTTATCAATTTAAACGTTAGTTTAAGACGTAAGTTTAGTGCAAGTGGACATATGTAATTTAAATATAAAATTTTATTCGGAACATGTTAGCCTCGCTTTTGCTAATAGTGTAGGCTTTAGGCAACATTAGCATTGAATGTCCGTGTTAAATGGTTGCCAAAAATCCAGAAAAAAAGGTTATTAAAGTTCCGTTTCCCAGTGTCATACATAGTATAATTCTAAAAACATTTAAAGGTACGTAATACTACATAATTTATGAGCAATGCGTAATACAGTTTTGAGGTACGTACGAATGGATTTAATGTTGATGTGGAGTCCGAGCTATACGTAGGAGTTTTAGTCCGACTGCTCTAATAAAACCAAAATATTATTTACTTCATAAATAATTGTAATTCCCTAATCACATAGATAAATGTAAAGAAGTCACAAACATTGGTGCATTACTTACCGCAGTATCAGTCATTATCAAATGAAAATATTAATAAAATAATAAACCAAGAACTGATTTTATAAAATATTTTTTTAAACCACAACAATAAACCAGCGTCAAAATATAAATTTTATTTTGACAATTAAACTCTTGTGTATAACAACGTGTCGATGGTTTTTTGGCAGATTTCGCACTTTATACAAAGATGCTACTGGCACAAGTTCTTTAAAAAAAGAGTGATATACCTACAAGATGCCTCGACCAGACTTACCGTATCACCATAGATTAAGGTCTTATTCGGAGTGGCGCCTGGCGCGGGTGCGTGTAAATCAAACGTACGTAGACGCCTCGTTGTGTTCACTGGGGACGCGCGGCTCGCTCGCTCACGCACACACACTCGCGCACGTACTCACACACATATATTGTTTCTTGTTTTATGTTTTGTAATGTGATCGTTTTTTTTTAATGTAACGTTCTTTAGATACCTAGAGGGATTGAACCTGGTGATCTGTAACATGGGTCCCTAACCTGGGGGTCTGCTCTCGATCTCCGTCCGAAACAATTAGTGCCAAATAAGCAATACTTGACCAAATGAAAAGACGCGTGATGCGAATGAAGCTTCATACTTGATACTTGTCTTTTAATTTTGTCGAATATTACTTTTTATTTTGTTTTGTTTGTTTTTTTGTTGTTATGTACGTGTGAATGTAATAACAAATAAACGTTTTATCTATCTATCTATCTATTTGACAGTAATTGTTTCGGACGGATGTCGCTGTCGGACGGAGATCGAGAGTAGACCCCCTGGTACAGACTCCAGCTTTCACTAAGGAATTTGTTACTTGAAATGTAACTACTTATAGACCTTTCTGAGAGACATAAAGCATTTTGTATTTGTACAAACACAACACTACTTGTCTTGCTAAATTATGGCGTTGGTGACCCTTTGTTGGTAGAAACATTTTGTTTATAATAAACATATTATATGTATAACCCTTGAACGCCATTATTACCTGTACAAGATCCAAGCGACTGGTGACGCGACCACTTTGCTGATAGCGCAACCGAGAGCATATCAAAGCTTGACACTGAACTTTGGACCGTTCTTATTGTAAACGGTATTGAAATATTAACACGTGTCAAATTTATCGGAATCGTGATACTGTGTGTACTAATGCGAAAGTCGCACGTAATGTCTGATATTGCAGTTACCATAAGTAAATACTTAGTATAGCACGGAGTAGATATTTTGGTCCGGACGAAGTTAGTAGGTCGTAGTAAATATTTTAAGTAAACGCTTTGGTCTGGACGCGTATAATCGCTTTCACGCCTATCTATAATAGTTGCAGTGCCACTTAAGAGCTTATAATCGCACAGATCTTAGAGAAGTTCACTTCCAAATTGGAACGCAGTACCTAAACGCTCATATTAATGCTTGTAAGATACTTCCTTGGACGAACTCTTTAAAAAAAACAGTAGAATTACATAGTAGCATTCTTTTAATGATTTCTTGTTTTGTTTTATGTCATCTACAGGTGCAAAATTCCTTAGTAGGAAACAACTGATCAACAATATGTTGCTAGTCAATGTTCAGAGAAGGCCTCAACAACGCGCAACTTATTTTCAATAAAATTTCTTTGTTCATTTTAGTCCACAACGCTCCTCAAAACCTGATGCGTCTAAGTGTCACAAGAGAACAAGGTTTAACGTCAAATAAAACAATATCTTGTTAATATAACAAAAACTATATTTTTGTATGGCCAATATTCAGCTATACACACGGCGGAGTGACGCTTGCTAAATAAATTAGATAAACCGAGCTAGCTAGCTTTATTTGGTTGAAACGAAATATCGTTTAAAAAATTCAAGACAATAAATCAGAAAACCGAATTACAATAATGTTCAAACTACTCATTTGATTGTTATGAGAAAGTAAACTACAAAATTAATTTACAATTAATGGACAAATGTCGGATTCCACACACAGGCGTGTAAAATTAACTTACACAAATAATTAGAAAAAAAAACAACACTTCAATTAACAAACATCTAGATTCTTTATAAAATGCCTGTGATGTATATAGCAAGCAGCGATGCCCCGCGAAACTTCCGTATTACTTTAAATAGTAAGAACATAGGAACACGTGGATTGAATAAAAAATCGATCGAATCGGTGACAACAAAATTTTCTAGACAGGTTGTATTTATAATAAAGATATTTAAAAAAATTCAAACTATTTAAACGACATTTTCCTAAAATATTTTTGTAATAAGGGATTTGAAGTTGTTCTAGACATTTCATTACCACGCGCACTGTTTAGTTTAAAATCTCCAGATTACAGCCTAGACACAGATATGTCCTCTTATTACCCGTACATTACCAGCACTAGTGCTGGTAATGTACGGGAAATAAAAAAATATTCCTCACTTATTCCTCCTGTACCAAACAAGGTAATGTAGCAGGAATTTTCATTCCTCTTACAAAACCAATACGGCGGACCGGTAATGTTCGAGGGAAAAAAATGCTGCTACAATATCGTCCTGCTTAGCACGAGTGGACAATTATTATGATTATTATTTTGAATAACTAATCCAGTCTGTCGCCTCTCCCATGGCCCAAAAGATTAATTTCTAGATAAAAATAAAGGAAAAGGCGGTATTTCCCGGCAATACCACAGTCGGCCGGGGTCAGGAATTCAGGTTCAAGAACCGGCAAACAATACGTGCCGTATTGAGCAGGACCATTAATTATTATTACTATTTACGGATTTAAATTCTAAACGTTGCGATATCATTACGACCATTGAATGTCGTAAGGGGCGTACCAAACCTAGAAGTTTGTTAAAATCTTTAACTTGGATACACAAAACTATAACCACGATTACTTAATAACGTCCTATCAATAGCACAACATATGCAAAAAGTCTAATTAAGATTATAATTGTAACGTATCACACTATACATGTTACTGTCGCGAGTTAACTGGTAAGTAAAATGTATGGGATTGTAGTAACACGCTTTTATTGTTAGTGAGTCGTGTACGACACGACTTTATTGTAGTTGAGTCCAGCCTCCATGGATGACCAGCGGAATGACTGGCCACAAGTACAGACTGACTAGACGACTTTCATTTGGACAAAAGACGAGAGTCGTGACTAAACCTCTGACCAGAGAAGATGACTTGGGCGTACTCCATTTTCTATTGTACAGGCAGACACAGAAACATTTCACTTTCCGGTTAAATTGTAACAGTACAATTCCGCTGTTTGACGTTGACAATTATAAAGTCGGTACACTTAATGAAAATTATAACTATTTTAAATTCAATCATTACACAGGAATATACAGAACATTGTAAAGAACAATGGCAAACTCCCACATAAATATTTGTTGACGTCATTTATATGCGTCTGTTTATGAAAAATATGTGAAAATATGGTTCAAATTCCAGAACAAATTTTGTTTCGGGTTTACTATTCTGAGAAGTTTGGAATTAAAAATATTCCAGTTTGAAGTTTTAGAGGTTATGTGTTACGTAATTGAATAAAATATTATTATATTTGGTATATTATTATATCAAACTAAACTAGGTTTAAGACGTGACGAAAGTTCAGAGGAAATTTTTTTTATACTGGTTTGGTCAAAAGGTATGAAGTTAAGTAACAAAAAAAACTGAGCTAATTAATATATACCACAGACTATTCCTGGTACCTTGGACACAAATTATTTTTTTTTGTGAAACGTCCCATCTATCCCTGATTTCGGAAACTTTTTTGTCAGTTTTACCATTTTCTCGTCTGACATTTTGAAGAAGGAATATACATGTACTTTATTTTTTTTAACGAAGTAATTAATCTCTTTTTACAAATCGGTCAAATCAGTACATTTGATATTACTTAAACTAAATGTGGACCATACACATACGTTGGTACTGAAATTCTTTTTTTGGCAGCTAGATGTTGCTCAATGTTAAGAAATTAAGGAACTGACACTTGTAGAACTTGTAGTTCAGTCCGGTTACATACTACTTAAAACATTAGAATTTCTTTTAAATATGATTTCATTGCCAGACTTGGATAGACCGCTATTACAATTTGAAAAACTTAATAAATTTATTTTATTCAAACTTTTAATTAAGGTATTTGAAGACGGTAAACCAATTATTTTAACTATGACTTTGCCATTGTTCTTTTTGCAGTAATATTCACGATCGTAGATGAGTATTACGTTAACCCTATTTTTCTAGTTCAAACGATAATAACTGGTTTGGTTCTGATTTCAGCAGCCATAGTTGCATAAAACAAATAATAATGTATTGCAAGGCACTATGCAAATTTGTACATTCTGGCGTGATAAAGAGAATAATATCTTAATTCAACTGACTAAAATGCACAAATAGTCATCCAGCTCGAATTTATCCTATCGATACAATATTAAAATTAGTGCATTTTTTCCCATTATGCCTAATCGAGCAATCATATGCCATTTTAATACAGAGAACAAATTCTCGTGTTGTTGTAATAATCTTTTATTTCTTAATTACGTAGAAAAATATATATATGATAAGGAGAAATCTACAAAACTTAGTGTTTCACGCATACGACTGAGGGGCTGACATCCGTCCGAAACAATGGTGCAACTGTCAAATAAGTAATACTCGACTAAATTAAACCTTAGAGGATGGAAAAAAAATAAAGGAAAGGAGCTGCCTTATCTACGGCATAAACGTCCCTACCTAAATAAAAAATGTCCACCACAAATGGCGGATTTAGTGTTGTACCATAATCATAGATAAGTCAATATCGACATGCAAATGTATGGCTTGAATGTTTGAAACTGTTGTTACTGTGTTTTATGTTTGGAAATTTGTGTAGTTTACTGTAATCAAAGTGTGATTAACACTAGGATATTCTTACTAGGCAAGTAATGAAACAATTTAATCAAAATTAAATATAATGTTATTTACCAATAAACGTAACGATGGAATTGTATTATCATGTAATCTAGTTACATTCAAAGTTCTATTTAAATTTGAATGGAGCGAACAAACGAAGATGGTATTTGATCCAATGTTTATGTTCGGCAGTCAGATAATTTTCAACCATTCTTTCTTTCTTATTTCATTTGTAGGTAAACTTTAAAAACAATAATAATGAAATAATAAAAACCTCGTAGTGAATTGTTTCAATAACAGAATATCGATAATATGTCTACTTACAAGAAACTATCTAAAATAATCGTTATCAACAATCATCAAAATATACTAACGAACTGGCAATCTAAAGTAACCAAAGCAAAATTCGGTAAGACTTATGAATAAACTACTTAAATGAGTCTAATTACGTGAGATATTTCGCCTATTGTATGATTTATAGACAGAAAAATAACACATGCCGCTGTAATGTAACAATCGGTTGATTTCAGCTTTTTCTACTGCCGCACCCCTTAATACAGCAGCGACGCATTTTTATTCGATTCCCGTATTTGACATAAATCATTGTAGTGCTATTTCTTTTGGCTTACGACGGCAGGCAGTAGTTAAATAAAGACAATAAAATGTTTATGTTTTCACCGTCTAAATGCATCGTATACATATAACGTCTGATTTATTTATGCCAATATAACATGTCCTTTGTTTTCCATAGTCTAAGAATTAAACGCATGATGCAAATGAAGCTTCACACTTGACATTGCCATTACTTATTTGTCAGTACATAATTGTTTCGGACGGAGAGAGGGAGTAGACCCTCTGAAACCATCAATTTTTTTAATAACGTGTATATAAATCTTGCTTTCCTAATTTTTCTATTATAAAATTGATACAGAGATCGAACAAAGGCAAAGAAAAGTTTCTGCGATGCAGGTGGACTCGAACCAGGAACATTTTCGCCTTATGCGGGCTATCGCTCTTTCAACTGAACTTTCTGACTAAATATCCTTTTAATAGAACATTGCCTTTTGACCGCCATAGACGTTTTAAAACGTTAATGAAACCAAGTGTTATTTGTATATTCTAGTTAAGTATGGATTCATAGTTGCATTTTATGTTCAGTTAAGTTTTTGTTTAACTTAGGAGAATTGAATTAATATACAGTATATAAGGAATTGAATTAATATTCATGACATGTCACATCATTAGACTTAGCGTCTAGGAAACAAAACTGGTTTTTGGTCAGAGATTGTCGGTCAAAAGCTTAAGGGCAGTAAATAAGGAATTGCGAAAGAGACACTATCGACCCGAAGTCGAAGACTGAGGGCTTTCGGAGTCGAGGTTCGTAATTCTCGTACCGCCCGTGAAACATACAATGTTTTTCATGGCACTTGCACGTAAACAGTATAATTGTATGCAGAGTAACTTAACTATAATCCCCCAAATAAAACCCTCGGATCTTTTTTATCATTACAGACCATGCCAGGTTAGCCTGCAAGCAATCATACTATTTACGTGCCAGTGTGATATATCCGAAATAATTATAGTGTTTATCATTTGTTGAAATAACACTGCGATCTTATTAAAGTCTATATCTCTCTACCACTGGCATATTTTATAAAGTATAATCAGAAAACGGCTGCTGCTTTACATTATTACTGAATATGTGAACTTTTTTCTTAAAGAGTTTATTCATAATAATAATATTCTATTATGTATAGAATTATTTACATACATTATAAACGGCTACGTGTAAGTAAGTATGTTTGCACCAAAATTGTTTCCTAATTTTATCTGTAGTATTCTAAGTACCGAAAATGGTTCTGAGAGCAAAGTACGATCTTACCGTACTGGCATTAATCTGCTGTTTTGAAACAGGAACAATTACAAGATTCAGAGACCTCATAACCTTATGGTTCAAACACTGAAGAGATCACCCGCGGAAGGTAGCGGCGCTAGGCCCCCAGTGACGTCAGGCAGCCGTGACACATCTGGCAGATTCTCTATATGTGATTTTACTTCCGCTTTAACCGCGTAGATCTTTTGCAGTTTTATGTTGTATTCCTGTAATGTGATATTTTAATTCAGGTTTGTCATGCGACCGTCTAACAAGATCTTCTTAAAAATACATGTAACATTGAAAAGAAAAGGCAGTCCAGGTGGTGGCTTTCTTTACTAAAAATCGTGCACATCATGACACGTAACTAACAAGTTTTTGTAACAGTAGAGCTCCTTGTGAAAGAGTTCGTCCAGGGAAGGCAGAAGTGTCGGGTTGAACTACAGTCGTGAGCCTGGTGGTAATTGACACGCCTGGTCATGACAGTTGCAGTGCCGTGCCGCTCACAGCTTTAAATCGCAAAGATCTGAAGGGCACTGCCCCTACACCCGTCATCTTGAGACAAATTTACAAGTCCCATGTGCCTGTAATTCCACCACCAGCCTTACCCTTCAAAACCTAAACGCAGTAACCTTCACATTACTGCTTGTCCGTAAAAAATAGGTAAGGTGGCTGTACTTCCTTGGACGAATTCTTTCACAAGGAGCTCTACTGCTACCACACCTTCATCTGCCGCCAAGCAGTAATGTGAGCATTACTGCGTTCCGGTTTAGAAGGATAAGGGTGCTGGTGACTTTACAGGCACAGGACTTGTCAACTTATGCTTCAGGGTGACGGGCGCAGTGGCAGTGCCCATAACATCTTTGCGATTTAAAGCTCCGAGTGGCACGTGGCAGTTATGGATAGGCGCGTCGACTTATTCGTCCCGTCACTTGGTATTATAAAAACATACAACCTGTATAAATGCGCCATTATCGCAATCGGCACAAAGTTGAATTTAAGTCTGAAGTGACAGCTTGACGTGCTCTTGAACCTTTCTATCCTTGCCTTACCGCGAGACTTTTACGGATAAAAATAAAACAATACATACCTCAAGTCTAGCTTCGGCCTGCTTAGCCAAATCTCTCTGCGCTTGTGCAAAGTCCCGCAACATAGCTGCAACCTTCCTCCGTTTCTCCAACTCCTCAGATAGTCGAAGATTGTATTCAGCTAGCAGTTCCACAGCCGAGTTCACTACCGCGCTTAGACTTTGCGCCGATTCCTTATCTAAAATGATTACGTAATTGTATGTAAACATGACAGACAATATAATATATACGCTTTTGATTATTTGAAGTAATCCGCTAGTAATAATAAAGAGCACTTTGCTTATAAGCGTAAAAACGCTCGAACAACGGCGGCGGAACATTATTTGAGGTAGGCTACAATGTAGTTATTTACGTCGTATGTGGCATTCCATCAATCACATTTGCCTGTGCACTATTCACAAATTTCACTTACTTTGCACTAGATCTATTTCTATAACTGGACGAGGTATTCGACATTAGCAACCGTAAAAAATATGACCAATTGTGTAACAGTCACAAGAAGTAAAGTTTTCTATACAAATATTTTAAGCGATCGCTAGCGACTATGTGCAATGTGAACTCATGTCTGCAGTACTACCGTGAATATACAGTGTAAAAATATTGGTATACAAAAATTACTTCTATTAGTGATCGCTAGGGGCGCTGTACAATTGCCGTATAAAACTATTAAACATTTTATGCAGTTGTCAGCGACTTTTTATTTTAAGATACAAAGTAATGGAACGAACAAGTCGTGCATCTGATGGTAACCGACACGTCTGTCCATAACAGTTGCAATGCCATTTAAAGCTTTAAATCGCAAAGCTCTGAAGAGCACTGAAACTACGCCCATCACCCTGAGACATATGTTGAAAAGTCCCCAGTGCCTGTAATTTAAAAATAAACTATCACTGTAGTCTCATAGCCGAGGCACTGATTTATTTATTCATGGAAAAGCAACAGCTACAAAATATTTAATGAAAACACGAATAAAAACTAATTGTTGGTATTATAAAAAACACTTCTCTCTTGGTCACTTGATATTATAAAAAAAAACAGGATAACACTACTAATTTTCCTACAATAGTCTGCAAAAGGCGCGCGTGTCGCGACTGTGGCGCTGCAGCTGCGTTTTTAATTATTGTATGGAAATTAGTAGTGGCGCTACAGCTTCTATAGGCGTGTAATTTGAAGGCGTCCTTAGCCCGTCTTGAAGGCCGAAAAATTACACTAATGTACTACGTAGTAGCGTTAGCACTGTAGGGCGCAACTTACGCGAGAGCGACACAACGCGGCATAAACAGCGGCGCGTGCACATTACCCCTCTCTGTCGAATACTGGTTCAAATCAACGCACTCTTGTCTGATAAGCCTGAACATGATATGTATACGGGTGGATGGAAAAACATGTTAAATAATTGTATGTTTTGCGAGAACAATAATTGTGAGTCCACCTGTTCATAAATATTGCCTTCCATATACAGTTCCTTGTTTTACTATTATTATTTTTTCTTTTCTTATTATTAACATCTATTTTAGATTCTCGCATCACCCATGGCGGAAAACATAAATTATTACTATTAGTTCTTGCATGGTTATGTCCATTGTAAGTAGAACAAATAAATAAATTAAAAAAAAGCGCGATGTCTCTTTGCGATCTCACGCTATATGTCACTCTCGCGCAAGTCGCGCAATGTTGTGTTCGCCCTACTTATATGGCGCTTGAAACGTTTTTGACTCATCACAATAATTTTCGCTAGATTTGTCCTAATCTGAGGTCAATTACCTACCAAAGCGGAGCTGTAGGACTAGCACGACAAGGCGCGACTTGCGCGAGAATGACAAAACGCGAGATACTGCTATTCTCGCATAGAGATCTCGCGCTTTATGTCGCTCTAGCGCAAAGTGCTTCTTAACGTGGTAGCCCCACTGAAAACATTTTAGCAATTCAAAGTATTTACAAAGATTTTAATAATCGTTGTTTTTCACCACATTACAGGTTTAGTAATAGTATTATGTTATAACGACTTCACCATCCTGCTTAGTCCTTGCAAGTCACTTTTGCCTTTGTAAAAACGTGAAGGTGTCTAATTAATAAAAGACTATTCGTATCCTTGGTATAATAACGCCTTCTTGTGATCATACGTCAATGTACTTTTAAGAATGAATGGCACATTCTTTATTGTAGATAAAGAATTACAATGACAACATACAACAGTAATTAATGTAAGTATCACAGAGTAAGCCAATGTACAACAGGCGGCCTTATTGGTAAGTAGCATTTTCTTACAGACAACCGTAGGAGAGAAATTTATGACATGAAAGTCACAAAGATACGCACGAAGTGTTACGCTTCCACATTTATATGGCGAACGGCTATGGAGTGGAATTCCCTGCCTGCAGACTTGTTCCCTGAACGTTATAACTTGGACCTTTTCAAGGCGAGAGTAAATAGGCATTATTTACGTGTGCATGCTCCATCGTCGACCTCACCGTCACTTTCCATCAGGAGAGATGGAGGTCAAATGCACACTTACATTTGCTTAAAAAAAAATGCAAAAATAATACGAACTACATGAAACAAATTATGCACATGTGAAATTTTGTAACTTTCGTATTTTAAGCATAAAAATGTTATCGACCAAGCTCTCTACTGAAAAGTTCTCATTTTACAGATGTGACCTAATTACACGAAGGGTGAGAATCGGTTACTGAATCACAGCTCTAGACACTGGACCCTACAGATTGGGTATTGTCAATGAATTACATTGTATACAGTTACTTAACAAACATAACATCCTTTTGTAGTTTTTTTTGTGCTCAGCGATCAGGCATGGCAACTTACCACAGACCTTCGAGAATACAATTTCATATCTGATATCTCACAGAGTTTGCCGACTAATTACTGAGATCCTAACATTGGTTGTACAGCCTCATTTACCTAAATGTTTGCTAAAATGACATGTGCATAGGTGTTATTAATTATGACTTATTTGTTTTTATTCAAACGCCCCTTCGCAAATCTTGAAGTATGAGATGTGTGGAACTGACGTGATCTTGTATAAAATCATATGTAGTAATTGAGTCGCGATATAATTCAATTTATGGTTTTAAATATTTTTCAAAATGCAATATCTATAGCTGAATTTTGTTTAAATGTCCTGTAGGCTAAATTCAAGTCATTTAAGTTATGATACAGCTTAAAACGATTAGTGTGAAACTGTTCGCAGACTATAGCTGCAACTATCATGTAATGTATTGTGGTAAATATCAATTTTACTAATTTATACAACCTGCAAATACAGACCATTTTTAGGGATAACATTTTTTCTCCGGAGTAAATCCTTCCTTATAAATTGAATGTATTTTAACAATTCCAAACACAAATGTTTGGAAGAAAGTTATACATTAACAAATAACTACGCACAATATATATATGATAGGAAAGTCATCTTTATATGCTAAGGGATGGTCTCTATAAACTATAATAATAAAATCACTTTTAGAGTATAAATAAGAGCTTAAGATACTCGTTACGTGGTGAAATCACTGAAGTACGTAGTGAAAACATCCCTTGCAATATAATTCGTCAGTACTCCAAATCTCGCGTACACACTGCACCCAACGAACTGGTAAATTTATTCTGAGGAAACATTTTACAAAATTAGTTATTTGCGTTACCACTGTTGCTTTAGTGTGTACGCGCCATTAACTGTGATGTTAGTAGAAGCAGAAATTGTGTAAGGCAAAAAATTAATTTCTGTGACATGTTTAACAATGATGACGAGATTGGTGTTGAAACTTCAGTTAGTACAGAAAGACCACTTGCAAATTAGAAAATGAACATGATGGCCGATTTTAGAAGTAATTCCTGTTACCAATCAAGAAGTAAATGTAAGATATTGCAGTAAGAAACTAGATATGAAAATGACCAACTAACTATTGGAGGTAGTAATAATTGCGTTATGGAAAATTATGTTATGAAATATGTAAGGTGTTTAATGGCCAATACATGAAATGTAATGTTAGTGTTATTCCCACAGAGGCAATCGTGCGATGGACCCTGCAGTCGTCAAAATGCGAAGGGGCTCGAAGAGAAATGAAACAAAATCTACCAAATTATCATTTATTTTCTTAAGTCTTTAATTATCACAAAGAATTAATTGCACCTATCACAATCATTGCAAATCAGTCGTTCGTTAACCTAAATAATAGTAAATACGAAAGTGTGTTTGTTTATTGCGAGAATAACCTAGTCAAATGTCACGTAGGATAGATTTCCTATCTCAGTCAACCGGACACATCCGGCTTGAAAGACAAAAATACTGAAATATTTTTATCTTATTTTATTATATATGGCATTAATCACAGCCAATACATAGTAACAATTTCGAGTGGGGGATATTTTGAGCCTACGTGGGTGAGTTTTGGACCACCTAAGACGATACAGGGCAAGCTTGACGAAGACCACCGTATTTCATTGGACTTGTACAGACTGCGAATTTTTGTTTTCTGATGATCTTTATCGGTCCGGCCTGTATCGGATTTCAGATAGCTGTTCGTGTGCTACATCTGTAGCGACAAACGTGCACGTCACTGCCGTCGCGAAATAAAAGTTGGTACAAATTTATGGAAACTAGCCCCCGTAGCATGGCGCTGCTTGATAAAACCGCGATTTTGAAATTTTATCACAATAGCGAACATGGCGAGCATTGTGACGTCACAATTTTATCGCACCGCGACAGTATTATCACAGTCTCGAACATGGCCGCAAAAGACAGCTCCGTGCGCTCGTTTTCTTTTAAACTATTTTGACAGTTCTGCGCGGTATTTTTGTCAACGTAAAAATTGATCGCGACAAACCGAGGTAAACATAAATAATAAAAAGGAACAGATGGTTATATATTAATTAATATTGGAAAAAGGTGAGTAGAACAAGTTCTATATGTGAGAGTAATTTGAAATACGTAAATAATAACTAATGTAAAGTAAAATTGTCTAGTTTGTGATCTATGTTTCAGCGAAAATGTCGAGAGGATATGTGTAAGAAACATGATTTTGGCATGTGAAGAGAAGGTTTTGCGGGAGGAGGGTAGAATACTGGTGCGGGGGATCGAAGAAGCCTTTCAGCTCCCGGAGAATGAGTTCTTAGTAAATTATAAAATAAGCCGATAAGGCTTATTTATAGATAAAATAAAATAGTTATTTCTGACATTTTTCATAAATACTTTGTGTGTGGCTTTAGCAAAGATGTCGTTTTACAACGATGTAATTAATAAGATTAAAATTTTCACGGCGATGATTAAACGACAAAAATAGCTTCTACCTATACAGTGCTTTTTTTATGGATGGGATAGCAGAAGTTGGTCAAATTTCATAAAATGTTTTTCATATAAAATGAACAAAATTGGAAAGTTTTTTTAATGCTGATATCGTGTAATTGACGACGAATCGAACAGCACTAAAAACAATTTTGATCAATTTTATTCATTTTTATGGACAACTCACGCTTGACCAAAAAATTGACCATGCCATTTGGCATGTTTTAACAAAAAAAAGACTTTACTAAGAATGGTTACTAAGAGTTTCCTTGTATCTTCTATAGTTTTGGATTTCCCCGTACTGTCCCATTTAAAAAATACACTGCATACCCATTTTATATCAATATCCCTGTTTTCCAAAATATATAGCAATCATTCATTATCAAATAAACAAAGGAATTAATGACACTAGCGCAGATCTTACCGATTCAGTTTTGCCAATAAAAAAAGTTAATAGCTTTATCAACTGCAATACAGGTAAGAATAATGATAAAAATGCCATGAGAGGTTTGAACATCACAGTGTGAAACCATGCTCGCAAAATTGATAAATAGTCGCACGCGGTGAGTGTTGATCAATTTTATAATGTCGCATGAGATATAACGCCATGCTACGGCTGCAGGTACTGGGGGTCTCTTCAGAAGTTCTGCTGGCTTCTGAAAGTACAATATACATTTTTGCAGTACGAGAGTGGTTTCGTTCGCGAATGTGTTGGACATCAGGTACGCGCACGTATATCGTTACAAACGTGACTCACGAACGGCTATCTTCGAGGGAGCGCGATGCTAAGTGGTCCCATGGTTACGCAAGCACGGCTGTCGCGGGCATTTACACGTGCAAGGCCCAGCGCGCCTGGCTAGCTCCAATAAAGCTAGTTCCTCGCGCAAATTCCTGAGGTAGAAAGCTAAACCTATTATAACACCTAGTCGGTCGTTACCTTCTAACTTAGACAATAATTGCACTTCGGACACTTCAGGGGGCAGCGACGCGATGCGCTTGCGCACAGCTTCGTCACTCGACGCGCTCGACTCCAGCTCCAACAACGCCTGGAATGATAACCCAAATGAAATTCAAAAACATTTACAATGACATTTATTTGTTTCATTATCAAATGATGCAAAGCTACAGAAATAGCATATATCCGATTTTAACTGCAAAAATAATGACGAATAATACAAATGGCTGTCACTTAACTTTTGAAACAAATTTTCATAATACTCAAACAAAAATTTTATTTTGTTTACAATAGATTTATAGTAGATAGACACATGCAACAGAGTTGAATGTCTAATCACAATATCAGCATTTGAGTGTAGCAATACACAACACGCCGAAAATAAGGCACACTTTACGTTAAAAAACAGAAATACTCCAACTGTAATAGTAACGCTTAACATGCGCAGCAGATTTTTGGCTTGATGTATCGCTACACTTAGTCCATTTCTTTTTAAAAAAGATCAAATAAGTAAATTTAGTAGCAGTAGAGCTCCTTATGAAAAAGTTCGTCCAAGGAAATACTGCCACCTTACCTATTTCTGCCGCCAAGCGGTAATGTAAGCACTACTGAGTTCCGGTAATGAAGAGTAAGGGTGCTGGTGAAATTACAGGCACTTGGGACTAGTCAACTTGCCTCAAGGTGACGGCCGCAGTGGCAATACCCCTCAGATTTTTGGGATTACACTGCACTTATTGCACTGAGTGGTACTGCAACTGTTATGGACAGGCGTGTCACTTACCACCAGACGGGCGATGCATTCGTCCCGTCACATGGTCTCATAAAAAAAAGTAAAAAAAAAATATTTTCGGGCAAAAGAATAAAAATGAATAGAAATTTCCCATTATTATCGCGAAACTTTATTACAATTGTTTTTTCTCGAAATTAATGACGCAAAAAAGACAAATACAAGGCGACAACGTTCATGCTCGGCTTAAAAATGTGCTCATGAACTACTAACTTTGAAAAACTTTATTAAGGAACAATAACGAAAAACGTAACTTTTTGATCGTTTCTAAAAAAACAGACTTTAAGCAAAGAATAAATTACCTCAATTAGCGTGTCATACTAATCTCGAGTCCACAGTAGCATTAACAATTTCAATTCAAGGATTATTTAAAATCTTTCGCTGTTGCGCAGTACGTCGATTGCAAACAAGATGATATGATAGAGATCAAAAAACTTTACTGACATCAAACATACATTTCAGAATATGTCAAAGGACAAGTCCGTTGGGATGATATTGCATTAAAAACACGTGCCATTAATCCGGTAGGATCGTTGCGTGCGACCACGTGTCAACTTGAACTGGTGATTGCCTTAATTTGTTAAATGAACCAGCATATCGTGAGAAAACGCTGTGTAAGGCTAGCACGACAGGATTTTATTGACGACCAAGGTGATCCAGCAGTTAACACTTTTAGCGCTAGACGAGGTCACATAGAACTAAGAGCTACTGCTACTCTATAAACAAGAATATATAAATACATTATATATATTCTTGTATAATAATAAATACGTCGCCATTTTCACTACGCATACACAATATGGAAGCGTGCGCGTGCTTACGAACGGAGCGCCTGATCGAACTGAACTGAATGGCGCGCGCCGATAGCATTTGTCGGCGGCGGCGGCGTGGGGGGAAACGCGGCGGCGGTGCGCCGACGCAGCGCTCACATCTATACAAGAACAGCAGTTTCTAGCGGTTTTATCGCACTCACGCAAAGTCGCAGCCTATAGTACTAGCCCTACAGATATCGTTTCACGCTGCAGACGCTCTATACCTGTAGCACTGTAATAATCATAATGTCAATAAAAATTTCAAGGTCATCTTTAGAACTTTGATATAGAAGTAAATGAGCTTGGCATTCGTTGGCAAAGTTTATGGTCTATATAGTTCAGGAATTAAACAGTCCTGGTTGATTACACATATCATCAAGTTAGAAACCAACAAGCTAGAGTATACAGTCACTCCTTGTTTTAGAACAAGGAAAATGTTAGCATTTCCCTTACCTTGATCAATTCTTCTGGCTCTGGTGGGTCACCAGGTGGAGTCTTTGGACTGAGCGTAATGTGCGTTTCAATCTGTCCATCCACTTCCACTTTAGTCTCACTACGACGGCGTTGTCGGTCCTTCTCTTTTTCCACTTTTGGCTTCTTTTCAGGTTCCTTTGGTTCATTGTCTGTAGATTTGCGCTTGCTCACTTTCTTTGGAGTTGCATCTATTTTGTCAGCTGGATCAACTGCAAATTAATTATATAATAAAGAACAAAAGGCAACCTGGCCTCAGAGCAGAATTCCCAACCTAGCCTCAGAGCAGAATTCCCTGTACTGAGAATATCAGAGTAACGAATTTCCTCTAGGAAACCGCTATCTAGAAAACTAGAGTTAATTTAAAAAAAAGTTGGCTTTCTTACTTGATCTTACCGGGAATCAATTCCGAGACCTCATCTTGCGCCAAGAAAGTTAACCACTGGGCCACTTTAGTCATCAATTTACTTAAGTCTGGTTGTAATCATTTTTACAAGTTTAAGAGCATAGTGAAGACAGAGCTGGGTGGGTGACTTCTCGATACTTCGACCTTGATCGATGTGTCCTAAGTAAATAGGAAGTGTAATAATGTGCACCTGAACACATTGAGACCTGAAAGAACTATTTATTGCCCATGTTTTACATTTTATCGCTGACATCCAGCCCTTATTTCACCATGAAGTTACCTAGGATCTCTAATAATCTCAGTAGATTCAACAACTCGGAGGAATGTGTAAATGTACACTGCTGGATTTTTGCTGAGGATTTCAACCGAGTTTCATCCTTTTCACAACAATATTTGAAGTTGTAATGTTAACCATACAGAGACCAATTGGTACCAAGATGAGGATCCGTAGTTGATTCTTGGTTGCATCAATACCAGATAGAAATATATAGCAACTTACCGGCTTCTTTGAATTTCTGAATCTTGGCAGCATCATAGACACCTCTTTCTTGCCAAATATTAAGTATTCTGTGCAATGAGTGCTTTGTTTTGGCATTTATTCCAGTCTTTGCCATATGTTTGAAAGACTCTACAAGGACTTCACCAAATTCCTTGCCATATTCTGGACCTTTCTTTTTGCTATTTTGTATGACGTCATTGGCCAGGTACATGAATGTCAGTTGCTTACTATCTTTCACTGAAATTAATTTGGTTTTTATCATTTATTAACAGAAAATTAAGCTAATTTATTTATTTTTAAAATTGGTTGCATTATAAAACAAAACAAATAAAAAAACATTACTAGAAAGTTTTGATATGTCATTTCCAAAATTGGTCATAGTCTATAGTTTAATATTGTTGTTAGCCAAAACCGCCACATATTTCCAGTCACCTAGCTACAGTATTGGTTTTTATTATATTTAACCTTTAGGGCATAACAATAGAAACAGTAAATATTTCAAAAATTCGTAACAGCATGTTTTTATAGATCGATTATACACCACAGCTCTTTCATGCACTCTTTTATGGAACCACTGATATTAAGTTTGGTTTGAAGATGTGAAAGAAGATAGATGAGTGAAAAATATTTCCACACGCCTCACTGAGTTGGATGATAAGCAAGTCGTACAAAGTGCAAAAAATGTTGTAGGACCCATATATGTTAGTTAGTTCTTTCAATGACAACTATAACTTACTGTACTTTGTAGCAAAAAATGTTTTTTTAATATTGTGTTTCTATAATACAAAATTTTTACAAATTAACATTACACTTAGTAACTTTCTTATACCAAAAACAAAATCCAGGTCTTTGTAGACAATGATTTACTAATAATTCTCCTATCAACCTGTAATATAATATGCTATTGCCCAGCACAGGTCTTGTCAAGCTCACACACATGAGTCACACTTCAACTTATATAAAGGTCAGTTTTTGAAACTCAATATTTTGTCAGGTTAGTGCAAATCGGCATATGTAGCATTGGTAAAAGGCGTGTATCTGCACTAAACCAAATTTTGCAAGAGAATGATTGGTAATTACTCATATATTTCAATGGCTATGACTTTCAAGCTTGCACAGTAAGCATTAATATTGATGTTGTTTACGGACTGATAACAATAGATTCCTGTAAGTTGCGCTAATTTGGTTGGCATTACACTTACCGAAATGGAAACTTATAGTCTAAAGCTAGTTACCGATGATTTGATCATAAAGAATAAAGTACAATTTATCTAAAGAATTTCAGTTTGCATATCTGTAGCTTTGGCCCTACCATATCTACTATAGAGATTCTCACAAGATTCCATAAAATATTTTTTGAGAAATACCCATCTAAATAGATGGGCGAAACCAACAATACAATGTAAATAAGGAATTTTTATTTAAAACTTGACTCATAACCTGCCTGAAAACATTATAAATATAATATGCAGTTCTGTAATTGTTATGTGCCAACAACTGAATTCTTAATGATAACTTAATGACCATACCAAGTTATGAGTGAGTACATAGATAAGGAAATTATTACTTAATTGAAAAGATAGTAATTATGTTGTAGTACTATAGTAAATACATAGAAACCAGATGATATGAGATAATAATAACACAGTAAAATTAAAACTGATTACTTTTGCACCTTGTATATGATTTTGGTTCCAAGTAGCATAATTTTCTCATTTTCATACTAGAATAATATGCAAAAACATAGTAGTATGGTAAATGGGAGACAATGTATAAAAAATAGATTATCCAAAATACTTTTTCCTTGCCATAGAACTGCGAATGTTCTAGACATTTTTTCTACTTCTATAAAATATGCCATGTATTAAATTTTCAAGGTTAACAAACCAATATACTACCCTCCATGATCAATATTGTATTTCGATGCCCATTTCATTTTTATAGTTGAAACTACATCTTGATGCCTAACGAAGCAAAGGGCACGTAATCAAAAAGCCAAACATAGCGAGTTTGATAACAAAATACTAAGGTACTATAACGACGTTTCCTCAGCCCATTACGATTGAACTAACCAACAAATTCCAACGTATTTATTACCACATATTTAGGAAAGAACAATTAACTGAAATTAGGTAAAAGTACGTTGTAATATCTAAAATGATTAGATACAGAATTAGTGAATTACCTTTCAATAATTCTTTGAACCAAGTCTTGACGACGGCAGCGTGGTGTTTTCTGTGATGTATCAGCCATAACGACAATGTTTGAATACTTTGCTGGCTTGAATTTAATTCTTGTAGCTTTCGGATTAGCGCGTTTTCCGTAAAACCCGCCATGGTTCACGATAACACTATTTCCTAAATTAAATCTATCCACACAACACACCTACGACCGACCTTTCAAAACGAAATGACGATAGTTTAGTTGATGAACGAAATAAAGCAAAGATGGCGTTGGTGAAGCGTTGGCGTGACTCTGTTTTCTTTCTAATTAACTATTCATGTTATGTATCTGGTGGATTGGTTCTTAAAGTAACGTCAAAAAATATGTTTTAAGATAATAAAAGCAAAATATACGTGATTTTGTAAAAATTTTAATGTTTTTTATTTGAAATTACTAAACTTCCGCTTGCGTTTTGTTTTGTTCAATTATTTGCTGTCCTATTCTCTCTTTGACATAAATATATCGCTTTGTCCTGTTGTCAATGAAAAAATGTTTAACGTTCATTTTACATTGATCAAAATCAAATGTTATTGCCAATGGAAATGATAACTTTTAAATGGCTGCCCTTTTTAAAAATTCATGGGATTCGGTTGGTTTGTTATATAATTTTTTTGAGCTAAATAAATTGCCCATTGCCATTGGCACACTGTAAAATCTGCTTGTTATTATGGTTACCTACTTTTAACCGACTTTGAAAAAGGAGGAAATTCTGAATTCGACTGTGTCTTTTTCTTTTTTTTGGATGTATGTTACGAGATAAGTCCCAGCATTTGTGAACCAATTTTGATAATTTCTTTTTTGTTGGAACGAGGATACCTCAATCGTGGTTCCATTTCAATTTGAAGAAAATATTCCACATCTAGTATGTAACAAAGGTACTCTTTGGTGACAAACTAGGGTGTAAATCCGGTAAATATAAATCGCGCACTTTCCGGTAACCAATTTCAATAAAACTTGGCAAACAGATTATAATTATTCTGATAAATTATAATCTTCTAAAATAAAATTCCACGAACTTTTGAGATCGGTTTTTTTAGTACTTATGATTATGAATGCATACAATACATTATATTATATTATATTATATTATATTATATTATATTATATTATAT